AAAGCTAATTCGAAAAGAAGTAACGAAGTGTAGTTATATATTAAATACAAATTTGAAGGTGTTAGGCGTTAATAAAAATTTCATAAAAAATCATGTAATTTTTCGTAGTATTTTATTGACTACTGAATCGTTGTAACCATTTTTCTGCTTCTTCTACTTCATGTTTCTCCTGTTCCAGAAATTCTTCAAGGAAGAAATTAATGGTCTCTGCAATTTTTTTCTTTAGAACTGTTGATTCGTTTTCTTCACTGTAACACAAAGTATCAAATTTAATTATATTTAACAAGTCCGTTTTCATTTTTGTTATCTTTTTACTAGTTTCTTCACACGAGTTGTTATCATTTTGTCTTTGTTTCCTTTTTTCAATTACATATTCGCGATACTTATTTATTACGTGTGTATAAATTTTTTCTGGTTCCGATATTTGTGGTAACTTAAAATTAAATGAGCAATAATTATATTTTTGAAAATAGGGATGCTGTAAAATTTCTCTGCACCCTTTTTTAAAACCCAACCTTTCTTCTGGATTAACAGCTATTAATTTTTCTATTAAATCTGCTAATTCAGATGACATTAAAGGTGGATATTTGATATCTTTTTTCTTTATTTTGTTATAAATGAACCATTCGGTAGAACCATCAAATGGGACTATTCCTGTCACTAACTGGTAGATAGTGCATCCAAGACTCCATAGATCCCGGGCTTTTCCACTACATTTATTAGTTAATGCCTCTGGGGGCATAAAATTTGCAGTTCCAACATAGTTATCGAACGTTTTTTTCATTCTATGGTTGTGTTTATTTGTATCTATTGGATATTTGCTACTTTTTAAAACATTTAAATGATCGTCATTTTCTTTCGGCACTATCTTATTATTAAATTCGTAAATTTCATTGTTCTTGAGTTCTTTAAGAATACATTTTTTGGGATTTGCGTCTTTCAATCTTTTATCGATTTGTTCATTATTACCGTTGCTATCGTTGTTATCGCTGTTATCATTCTTGTCGTTGTTATCATCATTGTCTTTATCATTATCATCTGAACACTTTCCATTCACTTCTACATCACTTAAAATGTTGCCATTTTCCGCAGAATGTTCACGTTTGAAGTTTTCTTCCTTTACATTATTGTTATTTGTTTTTTTTAATACAAATTTACGCAATTCCGTATCTTCTTGTGAGGGTTCGGGCTTCACTGTCTGCAATGGTACATTATCTAAATCTTTAGAAGTGCCAAAATCAATCAATTTGATTGTCCCATCTTTATTTATAAGAAAGTTTTCGCACTTTAAGTCTCTATGTATTACGTTATTTTTATGTATGTATTCTAACGCATGAACCATTTGAACTATTATGTTAACTGTTATAGTTTCGTCAATTCCAACACTGCGTATTTTTAAAAACTCCCATAATTCATAATCAGCATATTCGTACAATAGGTACACATTTTCTTTGTCTTTAAAAGTGTCAATTAACTTAATAACATTTGTATGCCCTGGGACATTTAACTTTGTCATGGTATGTTTCTCTGTCAAGAGAGAATTAATTATGTTCATTCTATTAACCTGTTCTTTTTTAAATATTTTAAGAGAGTAAGTTTTGGACGGATCATTCTTTAATTTCACCATGAAAACTTCACTGAAGTTACCACTTCCGATGTGCATATATATTTCAAAATCATCTTTGCGATATTTTCTATTCGTAGTATCTTTATCATCTTTTATTACTTTTTCTTCAACATCATAGATGTTTTTGTTCAGTAAAAACCCTTTTTTCATTTTTTCGCCTTTTTGTTGTTATTCGAACGTGCCTTAAATGACCATTTTTATAGATGTTTTCGATAACATAAATAGTAAGGAGTAAACTATTTAGCCTTTGTCTGACTAAAAAGAAAATCGTTTTAAACCCTGTATTTCACTAAGAAATATATAATATAACTATGCTGGCTGTTAATGCTGGTGCTTGCTTAAGCTTTCAAATGTTTCGAGTGCGTGTATAAAACGTTTTAAAACACATGATCCACGTGTTATAATCTTTTTAGCAGAATATGCTTCAAATTTTACTTTCACTAATTCAGATTTGTGAAATTACAAAAAAATAAAATAAAACGATTTATGCACATTTCATACTTTTTTTTAATGCTTTAGTGAGGAACCATAGTCGCACACTTGAAAAATTATGTACGCGAATTGAAAAACAGATAACAAAAAAGCAACAAACAAAAACAATAAAATAATAATTTCTTTTTAAATATCCTGTACATGATAACAGTAAAAATTCGCCATATAATCAAACAAACATAATTTATTAAAAAAAAAAAAAACTTAGCACAAAAAAAAAAACAAGAGAGGCATAGCATAAACTAAGTTTGCTTTCATTGTTCTTGTGCATGCTTTACGTTTTTTTCCTGGAAACTTCAAAAGGTTTCATGCTCATATCTGATTATTAAACAGGTTAAAGAAATGGTAACAAATGGCAATTATGCGCATATATATATTATATATATAATATGTACACACTACGCGTCATTTTACCTATAATATAACCTGTAGGAATTATAATTAAACTGTCTATGTATGCGTGCCGCTACACACATGCCGTTCAAAATACAGAACATTTCTCCTCGTTCATGGTCAAATGGGCCCATAGGCATTAATGTCCTCCTTTATTTGAATAAACGTGTCAAGAACCCCTAAAATTCTATCGTTTCCTTTTCCATTGGTCGTAAAAATGTTATGTAATTTCTTTATTTGCGTTAATTCTAAGTCAATGGCCTTTTTTTGTATAGCAACCCCAAATTGCTTCCACAAGTCATCATCATTAATTTTCATTTCTTGTAAATTTATTATAATGTCATATAGATGTTGGACATGCATATTGATACACTTTCTTTTTAAATGATAAAATAAATGATATAAAATCCGTCTATCTTTTATTTTTAATTTATGGATACTAGTAACAATTTCATGCATCATTGAGCTATTCACAGTGTGGTCAAGTCTTAAAAATCGGGATAATTCTAGTGCATATTCAATTACGTTTTTATTCTTTATATCATATTCTCTTAAGCATACCCAAATGCTGGTTATTCCTTGAGCTGTTATCATCATTTTATTGTTTTTTATATTCTTTACGATAAAATTGAATAAAAAGAAAAAGAAAAAAGGATCGGTTCTATTCATAATAGCATATGATTTCATGATCATGCAGATGTCTTGGCTTAAGTTCTTTCTACAGCCATGTATATCTATTTTATTCTCATCATTATCTTCGTACGTGTTTTCTAAGTTGTGTTCATGTTGTTCCATTTCGTTTCTTCCGTTCCATTCGTTAAAATAATCCTTAGCACTGTCATAATAAGCATGGTTACCTTTCACCTGAGATTCATTTTCCGCACATTCCAGGCTTTCACATTCTGTGCCCTTTTCCTTTATATTCACACTTTGACCGTTTATATAATCCCCTTCAGTTGTGTTATTTTTTGCAGCAGCATTTAACTCTTCGTCTAATGAATTTAACAATTGATATACTCTATTTTTCAGACACACCATTTCTAAAGGGGGCAATCTGTTTATCTTAGAATATGCCCATGCTATCAGTGATAATTCATGGAGGGTCATTGTTTTAATACATGCACGCAATATCTTATTTATTTCGATAAAAAGGTCGGACAAGTAAAAGTTATTTTTTGCGTAACTCCAGGCTATTAAACTAATCGACTTATTGTCGTAGTTTATAATGTTGTTTTTCAGCACATTTTCGTAAATAAATAGAAGAGATTTCGTGTGTCCCAAAATTGCGTATCTGCATACAAGACAAAAAGAGGGGCGATGAAAAAAAAAAAATAGAAGCAACGAAATGTATGTGATAGAAGAGCGAAAGCAGTGGTCTTCATAACAACGCATAGCTTTCTTTCACGTAAAAACGGAAATCTTTTTTAAGTCTACCTGTGCACAAGTGTGCTTATGTTTGTTCTAAAAATGTTTATGTTACTACATATAAAGTCATTATAACTGTTAAAAATTGGAGATAGTAAGTCAACTTTTTTCATGTGGTGAATGTACGTTAACGAGGCTATAATATCCCTTTTGCTGAATTGATCTACATGGTCAGGAAGAAATTAAAATAAATTAACACAGACAAGCACATAATAGGGAAATATGTAAGTTCTACAAGAACAGTTAACGCGTTTTTTTTAGGTGCATAATTTGCACACAGTGCACATGTCAGATTCACCCACACACCACACTTTTTTGGGCTTTTTCCAAAATACCTTTGTTGTCATTGCAAAATCTCATGAATTCATCAAAATATACGTATTTGTTCATCAAACTTGCATAATAGGTATCATGTTTCCAATTTAAAATTTTAGAATATCGCTTTACGGTCAGTAAAAAACTCATCGTCTTGATTCTGTTTCAAACGTGTCCTTTAGTGAAGCCAAAGCTGCCATTCACATTTTAATAGCCTTACATAGGGCATCTCTCATCATATCAAAGTACACCCCTATTTGTAGGCACAAATCGGGATTGCAATTCTCCCCCGCTATTTTGAGGGGAAAACGTACTTTGCTAGAAAAGCATTGATGTGTGGTATAAATTTTTTGCTTTGTAAAAAAAGTGTTTCTACCCAAGGGGGAGAATACGAAAAAAAAGAAAAAGAAAGATAGCAAAAAAAAAAAAAAATTAAGGCAAAACAAAATATAACAAAATAAGCATCAACATGCTCCTTTTTGGCTACATATAGTCCTACACGAAAAAATGAAAACTTTTGAAAAAAAACTGAAATTGTAGAGGGTGTTCAACAAAAAATGAAGCACGACGCAAAATGTGATGAAAAAAGGAACGCTACGATAAAAAAATATATATATTTGCACATGTGCATATGCATACATGTTAGCTGTTTCCAAACAGTGGTATATGTACAACGCGTTTTTTAATTTTTTCCCATTTGTTCTAATTATACAATTTTAAGTGTACATAAGGGGGGGGGATGAAAAAACTAAACATATCTTGTTTCTTCCTTGGCAGTGAGCTTAAACATGAACCCAAAAAACAGCATGATGACACATGTGGAGATGGCTATAACGTTAAAAGGCATACCTGAAGGGAGAATAAAAAGTGCATATCACATGTCACGAGGTGAGAGAGGCTGAATATGTGCAAGTGCGTGTACATGTGCACGTATGCACATTTGTGCAATATTTCTTCGTTGTTCGTTTTCCTCAAACTCACTTGTGTCTGGCAGGATTATATCTATTAAGAGCGATGGGGTATATTTGTACATAAACTCGTCACCTCCTTGTGAGATGTAATTTCTCTTTTGCACAAATATGCCGCTTCCTAGCAAAATGCCTCTATCTATGTCAAATTCAAACTCGAATGATCGGACTTGTACTTTGATTACTTCGAACCTGCTCCATGTATATTTTGCATGGGAAAGGGATGAAAAGAGGGTAATGTCGAATGTGGCACGGGTACAACATACTGCGGTGAAGCAAAACACGTGCAAAACGGAATGCTGCTACAGAGAAATGGAGTTTTAAAGGGGGGAATTCATTTTTGTATTTACTCCTAATATGTAATGTGTACTTGTGCGCAAATGTACACACGTGTCACAAGACAAGCAAAACTGCACATCACAAAATTGCACATGTTCGCTCTGTTCATGTAAAATGGACGTAACAATAAAAAGACCAGAGAGTCATTATACAAATGTGCACAAAAAAAAAGAAATCCCATTTTTACCTCATTATTATTTCACACTGTGGGGGCAAATTGTGCTTAAAATTAATGTAGTAGAAGTTTCCATTTTTGGGTATATTCTCAAGAGTGTCAAAATTGCTAAATTTAATGTTAAAATTTTTTATTGCATTATACCCGAAAAAGGTGAAATTACAATTGTCTTTCGTTTGGCTATTTTCTACAGGAGGACCCTTCCCTTGAATCATCATCGTGTGTATCAAGGGCGATAAATAGTATGGCAATTTATCAACAAATAAAAAATCGCTGTTGTTTTTTGTGTTCAAATTTTGAAATACATAGAGCAGCGAACTTTGTTTCTTTCTTATGTCCGCAGTAATCATGCTATTAACTTCTTCCTTAAGAATGCGCACATTTATGTATTCTTGTAAAATATTGGGTTTTCCATTCTGCACAATATTATATAAGTTTATATTATCATACACTAAATTGATAGTTCCATATTTTTCGAAAACAGTTGAAACGATATTTTCTTCCTTTTTTTTCACAAATATAGCAGTTCTGTCAACTATTGGACATTCATTTGGATTGTATTTACTGTTTATTAAGTCTACAACATTCACGTCTTTTTTGTTATCATGTTCTGTAATGTAGTCTACATAAAGGACTAGTAAATTTTCATTGTTGTCATGTAGCTCAAACCCTATGTTGCTCATCCGCTTTGATATTAAGTAATCAGGGCTTAGTGCATTAAATAATCCACCAAAAGTTTTACATGGGTACAGTTTTTTAAGCAGAGAAAAATGTTCTATACATATACTCTCATCAGGTAAAAATGCAAATATTTCATTTTGAACTTTGATCAAATTTTTGATTTTTATGAGATTCGTTGCCACACCTGTGATAGACCAAATGTCGTTCATTAATTGTCGCAAGATAAATATTTCATCTTTTGAAAATTCACCCTTTTCCTTTTCTTTATAATACTTGCTATCCTTTTGCCTTTCTTTCAGTTCAACTGCAAGGGTAAAGCCAAAGGGGTAATTGTCCAAATATTTGTTGTTGTAATAATTCCTGTAAACACCTCTTTTTATGTTAATCTTCAGTGACTTTACATAGTTTAGTATTTTCACCAGATTTATGGGGAGGAAATTGTCCTTATAACTTTTTCCATTAACAATTAGTTTTAGCTTCACATGTAGTAAATTATTATCTAGGGGCAGTAGATGGATGCTCTCATCTACCACGTGTGCATTTACCACGGAAATAAAGCTTAGAATGGAGAGCCAAATGCGTTTCACGCCTTTCATTGGAAAATTGTGGGGGGTTCTAGGAAGCAAAACAAAGCAAGGTATGGCTAAGCAAAACTGAACAAACAGTTTTATCCTCTTCGTATTTTTCAATTTTTCCGCCTTTGACCCACTTTCAAACCTGAAGAGCTGATAATTTGTTCTCAACTATTTTGGGCATTATTTTCCGCATATATATGCCTCAAAATTGTAATTGTGTAAAATTAAAAAAAAAAAAAAATATATATCAAAAATTTTATGTCAGTGAAATTGTTTCACTAGCACATGTGTTTATTTACAATGTGGAGAAAATTTTAACATTACAAAAAAAAAAAGAAAAAAAAAAAAAAAGGACAAATGTAGGGATAGGAAAAATAACATGTATATTTGTATCTCCCTCTTTTACGTATATTTGTGCGTTCACCCTATAGGATGTTTATGTTGCGCAATGTGCGCCAAAAAAAAAAAAAATTCAAAAAAAATTCTTAAAAATTGAAGAAGGCTACTTATGTACCCTTAACCTTCTTGTGTGTAAGAATCTTCTGACGCTTTTCCGTTTTTTCTTCTTCACATTTTTGCTTGGCCTTATATTCAAATTGTTATAGTATGCCACGGTTTCTGCTATGTCGGAAGACTTTTCTTCATTAACAACGCCAATCTGAGAAGGTGTATAAGAAAAGGTGATTTTTTTAAAACTTAATTTACAACAAGTGCTGTGGTGAGGAGATAAAAAAAAAAAAAAAAACATAATAACAAACTGTTGAAACAAAAAATAAACCAAGGGGATAAGCGAATACGCATTCTTAACACAATAATTTACCTTTTTATACAAATTTTTATTCCGTTCACTTAAGTGTTTGTCTATGTAAGGGTGGCAAAACCTGTTTTGCATTTCCATCGAATTAACCATTTTTATATAAGGGGGGTAATACCAATAATTAAACGCCAGGTGGACTGTACAGAAAAGGGAGGGGGTACATTTAGAATTCGGCACGGATGAAACGGAGTTTGAAATGGTGCAGCAGCGTGGCGCCACAGCAACTGAACATGGCAATGGCGTAGAGATATCTTCCTATTTGGTGCAAACAAATGTTATACATTTTTCATTTGAGAAGGACTTCACTTCGTGGAACCATCCACATGGCAAGTACACTGTTAAAAAGGGGAAGAGTAAAAATCGCAAAGGGGAGTCTACGTAAGTGTACGTTAAGTATACACATGTGTACGCATGTATGCATGTATGTTGGGTATGGGTTTATGTCCGGTTTATTTTTATCACGGTTATATAAAACTTATAGTTGCTACAAATGTGCTCATTTTTTTCTTTACATATGTCACCCTCGTTCACGTGGACGTCGATGTACTTTTTTCCTACTTCTGTGTTATCACTGAAAATGTCATCTTCTAAAAATGTAAAAAAAAAGAAAAACATTTTAAATGTCCATTATTTCGTGTGGTAAAAAAATGGGCACGAGTAAATGGCAAAGAAGAAAAAAAAAAAAAAAAAAAAAAAAAAAAAAAAAAATCATTTAACCACAATTCCTCGCAACTGTGTTAAGAAGGCAAAAATGATTTGGAATATCATCTCTCGTATTCGGCTTCGGTCTAAATTTCTGCTTGCGCAACTTGTAATTTAGGACATTATCTTCTAGTTTATTTAATCTGTGAAGAGGGGGGGACAAAAAAAAAAAATAAGTATGGCATTGTTAAACAGCCGTTTGCCATGTGTACCCTTTAATTTTGTTTATTCATTTTATACGTACTTTTGTTCTGCCTTATTTATAGAATTTTCTATAATTTTGTCTTCCAGAATTTTGTCTAACGGTGCAAATGGGGGGGGAGAGGGGGTAATTAAAAGGGTGCATTATTGCAGTGTAGATAAATGTATAAATTTGATCCGTAAATAAATTCTTTTTTTTGTCACCTTTTTTGTCTAAATGGTCACTCATGGCGCTAATGTGGAGGTACACCTTATCCATTTTTTTTTTGTACACATCTAAGAAGTGCGATCCTACGGGGAGGGGGGGAACACAGAACGTACTCACACGTATGTAATACACGGAGTTAAAAGCGTGCCATTTGGATGGCGATAAATGGAAGTTCACCCTTCACGATTTCTTTCCATTTACATTCCGTAACACATACCGTCACTTCTTATAAATGGGGAGTAGGTAATTAGGCCATTGCTATGAATACGGTAAATATTTCCTATCGGTGGGTTATTTTAAAATGGGGTAAATTAAAATGATGGACAAAGTAAGGGTTTGGCCCTGCTTCCAACAAATCCCTTACAAGGTTTAAGTGGCTTAGAAAACAAATTGGCATGCATATACATGTGTATATATATACATATGCATACCGTTCGTTTTCAAATGAGGAGCAAAATTGGGGCTATATATCCTAAACACTTTCTTGCCTAAATGAGGAAAGAGGTGCAAAATGTTGACAATGCGTTAAAACCCAGTAATTAAAAGGAAAGGAAGGAGATCTAGAGCATGGAGAAGTACGTATAACCTTTTAGTAGTACATATATGTTGTCGTGATAATCATGGTGTAGAAACGTTTTTAAATCTTCATCTGTGTTGTTTCCCAGCCACATATTGTACTGGTAAATTTCCAAGTTGCTAAAAGTTGCGAATAGGGGGCGGGGACACATATATGTGTATGTATATATGATCATAGGCGCGAAAGGACAAAGGGGACGACGTAAGCATTAAAGATGCTACAATGAAGCATAGGGATGAACAAACAAAATTTGGCCTAATTTCCTTACCCCATTATTTCCAGTCTCTTTGGAAGAAAATTTATCATCTGCCGAGTCAACGCGTTACAAAAGTCAGAAGGGCAATATGCATTTTCTTTTATATACTGTGTATTTAAGTAATAATCCGTATTTCCTTCCTCCAATAATGACAAAAAGTCATGAAATTTCATTTTTTTTTTCTCGCCTATCCCGAACGAATTTGAAATCTTTTGTTCTAATTCAACAGGGACATTGTCTATATGTTCCCTCAAATATTTTATGTCGATGTTGCACCTGTTTTTGATTACGCATTCACTAAAAAAAAAAAAAATGAAAATAAAAAAACTAAGTGTAGCGAGATATTTTGACAAAGTAAAAGAGCATAACTGGAGTACGTCCGAATTGACTAATTGTACACATGTGTCTTTTCTTTTGACGCAATGGAATTTATAAAAATGGGACATAAACGCCTATTAGCACCTGTTTAATAGACACGGTTTTCTTTTTAAGATGTAGTCCAGATAAAACTGCTCAGCGCTTATGTCTCCATGGATTCTGTCAATTTTGCTTATTTTATTTGTGTGGAAGCAGAACCTGCAGGTTGGCAGTTCCGTGTGGGTATGCATATGTATACGTGTGCATGTATATATATGTGCATATGTGCATATGTAAATATATATATATGCATGCTATGCGCTCGTGGTCGCATGACACAGTGTTGCAGGAAAGTTTACCCCGCGTAATCATTTTTTAAAGCCATTTTGCAATTTCCACAGGGACACACTTATAATTTTAAAAAGAAACCACCTTTTGTGTTATTATGGAGTTAGAAAAGTGAAAAAACTATTTCATTGCTATCATGCAGACGCGAAAAGCTTTCTGCATTTTTTTATTTATCTCATTTATAATATACTATTGACTCGACTGCCATGTGTCACATGAAAGAATGTGCACAAATGAGAGTTAATGCATTCCGGAAAACCCTCACAGAAGTAAAAACTGACAAAAATTTAAATAAAAGGGGTCTTTTACTTGAAGATAAAAAATTTAATCCATTTTCGATATGCTTGGCAAACCGGTAGGCAAGAAAAAATGGGGGGGAAAAAAAAAGAAAGAAAAGGGCTACATAAAACAGTTCGACAATTAAATCGAATTAAAAGTACACGAAATGATATACTTGTTGAAAATGTAAAACAAAATATTTTTAAAACAGTGTAAATGTTTTTCCAGATGGGGAAAAGTTGCCTTGTGAACAGAAAGAAAATTTCACCTTTCGCCAAATATATTTTTTACGCCTCATTCTGTTGAGCAGTATACAGTGTGACACGGCCTGCTAAATCCGTAAAAGTGCACAACGCCCTGGGTTCACATTTTTTTTTTTTTTTCTTTTCATGCTTATTTGTGGCCAGTGGTGTGAAAACAATCAAGGCCCAATTTTCACCAGCCTGCGCAGTAGCAAGGATTTATGCTAAGACGATTCTACGGCGCAGTGCAGAGCGCAAGTCTCTTCATACGTGTGCCCTTACTACCATTTCAGTATTAAAATAAATTCAGAGCGCGCATTTGTTCAATTATGGACAAAAGTCGCTTTTTTGGATTAAATGATTTTTTTTTTTAACTTTTTTAAGTTTAAAATATTTTTTAAATTATTTTATTTTGCTATATTAATGCGTATGTTATTTCATTCCAATTTTTTATCATACTTTTTTTGTTTTAAAAATGGCATAAAAAAAAGGCGCCACACGATGCCCGGTGCGATATGCCCGCGCGGCGCCTTGAATGCTCTCTCAAACTCATATGGTTCAATTCATTTGCGTCCTATTTGAATTTTGGTTTCTACCTGGAACGCGCAAGAAGCGTTGATTTATGATTACAATTTTTTCTATTTACACCAAAGAAGGGGCAAACCATGCGGAAGACTGACACAAAAAGGAATACATGTATTTTGTATATATTTATACATAAAGGTATGAGCGTATGCAGGTATGCATATATATAAATAATATACAATATTTCATGCATATATAATATCCTCTCATGCATGTACCGTACTTTTTTTTTTTGACTCGACCTTTTTTTCCTCCGAGTTCAAAGCAAATAAAAAGAAAACATACAGAGTTCAGTACGCCATTGGTTGCCTTCCTGTTTCATAAAAAAGAAATATATGACCGACCCATTTGGGTATGCCTACCTTTTTTCATTTTTGCGCAAGTGGGCGGCCAATTTTCATCACGCGCACAATCGCATAAAATTGTATAGCACGGGGCTCCCTATATATAAAATAATATTACATATAATTATATTTGCATTTTTTTTTATTGTTTAAAATTATTTTATTTTGAGTTATAACATCATCTCATTTTGTTTATGCAATTTTTAAGTAAATTTACTGAATGGAGGCAAAGACTATGTATGATAAGAAATGAAACTCGAAAAAATGTTTCTTGTCGCATTGTTTGATTCACCCTTTACGCATTTTACGCTTTTTGCGTTTTCAAGTATTTAGCCCCAATTATTCCCTTTTTTTTTTTTTTAAAATGTTATTGAATAAACCCCACACTACAGTTATCGCAGCAGTGAGAAGGAGGCCTTCTTTTACTTTATTTGCATCCTTTTGATGAACACTGCGTTTTGTACGCGCGAACAGGGGCGCATACATCTATATACGTAATTGTATACTCAATTGTGCACGTAAGTTGTATACACTCAATTGTATACTCAAATTGTATACGCAATTATATACGCTGTTATATATACACGTATGTACGGCATTATGCGTATGCCTGCGTACATATGTATATGCGCTCTAAGGAAAAATGACAGGTACTATTGAATGCATTTCCATCGGAATTATCTCTTTGCTTTTTATAAAGATTTATACATTTTTTTACAAAAGCCCAAATGTACAAGATGTAAAGGAAAAACAAGATGCTGACGGTGCAGGAGCTGCTGGTGATTCTTCCAGCCCAAAGTCAAACGTAAAAGTCGATGTCATATGCGACATAACGAACAATTTCGGAAGGCATTATGTAAAAGAAGTTGTTGGAAGGAAAAACGTCATAGGAATAATTCCTGTATACAAAAATTACAATAAGGAATATCTGGACATCTCTGCATTTAACGGATTTATGGCCCAACTTTTTAACTTTTTAAATATGCGAAATGGAAAGTTAATACTAGCGAATGAAGATAACTGCGTGGTAAACTTTTTGCAAAAAGAATTAGATATGGAAGAAAGTGGTGACAGTGAGGAGGACATATTGTTGGCCTCTTGTATTATCATCAATGACAAGGTGTCTATAATTGTTTGCGTCATTAATTACGAAGCAGAGATGGAAAAACAATTGAATTTATTCATAGGGAAGAAAAAAAAAGACATTTTTGTTATTATAAATAATTTATTCTTAATTAATAAGAATGACATTGTAAAAGAGAAGATGAGGAACAAGGGTTGTAAAAATGTAGAACTGCTTGATAAGAAAAACTCATTAACTCCAGAAGTGGAAGAAGGTTCCGAAATGACAAGTTTTTTTTCCTTCTTTGACTTTTTCAATATTAAGAAGGAATATTTAACCGATTTTTATTCCATTATACAAATAAATATGAAAAATTTTTGCTACTTTTACAAACGTTTGGGAAATAATTCATTTTCGGAAACGTATTTAAATGGATACATGTATGACAGTTTTGTTGACACCAAGATTTATAACTCCCTTATGGATATGTATCACGATTTAATTTCCGAAGCCATAAAAAAGGATAATAAAAAAATCAACATGAAGAAATTTTACACCTTTTATGGAGAAAAATGCGATTACAACAAAATTGTAAAATTTACCTTGATGAAGTTGGAAAACAACATGTTGTTATTTTATATATATGACATATATTCCTATGTGTACTATCAGCTAATTTTATACTTCTCGCAGAGGCAGTCCATATATAGATGATTTTTTTTTTTTCGGAAATTTTTTTTTCCTCCATGTAGTTTTTTTTTTTTTTTTTTTTTTTTTTTTGAAGTGTATATATATAATGGATACCCTTCCACGTACCTTCTTTGGTACATCATAATGTATAGATAGTGTGTTACACCTTTTTTTTCCGTGACTGTAGCTGCGCTGCGTTGTTGCTTCGTTGCAATGTTGACTCGTTGCATCGATGCTGCATCGCTCCCACTACTTTTTTCCCCAGCCTTCATATGCGTATGCACGCGTACGTACATGCTTTTATACACATAAGTTCCCTCCCCCCGTTCCACGTTTGTGTTGTGCACATGCATTAAATGAATTCATTTTACGTGGACAAAATGAGTTTTGTTTTTTTGTAAAATTGTAGCCTTTTTTTTACCCCTTTTTCGCCATCCCATTTTTATGTTCATATAATTATACGAAGGTCATGTACCTGCGTTCCCAAATCTTCCATGTTTCGTCACGCGCATAAGTGTACAATATCATGCGTGCCCTTTCATACACACGGCTTCTTTTGCCGTGTTACCTCCTATTGCTTTATAAAACCTGCCCCCCCTTTTTTTTTTTTTTTTTTTTTTTTTTACAAACAACACTACTCATATGCTAAACGAAGCAAACTTATTTTATGACAATTTGTTGCTTATTAAGAAAATGACAAAAATGAAAATCAAAATTCTTTTGCAATCCATTTGGGGATGCACTTTACTCAAGTTTTTTATAATCTCTACAACGGATGTCCAAATCGGGCAAAACGCCTCTTTTGTTTTTTGGGGTGCCCCCTGTTTGGTTGGCATGTATATTATTTATTCATCAGTTGCAGCAGTGGTAAAAGGAAGAACGTTCCATCGGGTTGTTTAACCGTGAGTGTGCCGCTTAAATAGGTTCCCCTTTATATGGTGTGAAAACATCGCATTGGTGCATATTTGCTGTGGTAGAGAAAAAGAGTCAACACAACAGAAGGTAGAAAAGAAAAAAAGCGCCTCCTTTTGTGACCACTCCTGTGTTTCCAACTTGTAAATCTTTTTCGTAAAAAATACCCACGTATGTAGGAAGCACCATTTTCCGCTTCCCCAACGTTGCAGATTTTTTCCAACTGGAAATTTTCCAAAAGGAAAAAAAAAAAAAAAATCAAAATGGGCATGCCGCTACGTTATAATAAGGGATACAACGAAGCGTGTAAAAATGCAGCACGGGGAATAATTTTTTTTTTTTTTTCTGGTCAACAGTTCATATAGCATTAAAATAGGCGCATTCATTTTTGCTACTCTAAACTGGAGCCAAGATTAAACACATAGGGGCTGCTGGAACTGGGGGCAAACATTTCGTGAATGTTCCTAAAGTGCATACGCCGGAGATTGTGCTTCTGTGACAACGGCCATAAATGTAATAATTCACCCGCGCATGTATTAAGTTGTACATATTTGTAAAGACGTAAATCCCGTTCGTAATTGTCTCCATTTTGAGATAAATGCAAGAAGTCACAAAATTGTGATAATTGCACTGAACTGTGGATGGGTAGTTTTTTTTTTTTTTTTCGTACCCCTTTTTCCCCTTCATAATTTTAAATGATGCAAAGCGGTAAGAGCGTCAGAAAACCAACAGAAAGCAGGCACTTGAGGAACTCCTCAAAGAAGGAAGAAGGCGAAAATGGAAGGGAACAAAAAAGGAATGAAAATTGGAGGGGGAATAATAACCATATGTCGAATGTGAAAAGGGAAGGAGGAACTTCCCACTCGACCGGTGACAGCAAGGCACATGAAGAACAACAAAAAAAAGGAACTGGTCATAATTCAGGTTACACAAAAAGTGAAAAGAATAAAAAAGGAAACGCAAATGAAGATGGAAATCATATGAACATGAAGGAAAAAAACACATCCAACAGCTTGCCTAGGGTGGCAGCAGCAGTTGGTCACGGCAAGGGCGCCACCAAGGATGAAGCTAATTTAGGAAAAAAAAACACAGTTAAATGGGAAGATGAACGAAATGACAATTTAAAAAGAGGCCATAAGAGAACAATGGATGCTAATGACCAAACCAAGGAACAATCACTAAATTGTAAAAAACAAAAATGTGAAAACTCAACAACAGTTCAGTGTGAATTAAGTCTATATGATGAATTCAGAAATTCTATTCAAGGTAATAACAAAAATTTTGTACAATCTTATATGAAGAAAATCAAGAGCAATTTCTTTTCCTACTGGAATGAATGCGAATATCAACTCAAGGAGCTACGAAAAAGATACTTGGAGAATGAAAAATTAATCAAAGAAATTGTCCAGGAGAATAACCTCTTGATGAATGGCGTGGACAAGTTCTCTAATAACTTAACGGAAGCAGTAAAAGGGGAAGAAGCGAACAGCGACCAACAAACCGCAAAGGAAAACGCCTCCATTGTAGAACATTCTACCGAAAATTATACCCCATTAGAGGGAACCAAGATGGAGAAAAAAAGACAAATATTAAACAACATTATAAATATAAAAATGATTTACAGAATGATCGAAATGTACCTTTTCACCATGAGACAATTCTCCTATTTATTGAAGGAAAATAATAATTTCATTTCTCTAATTGTGGACGAAGAAAATGTAGAAAAAAATAATTACGAACGAATCATTCGAAATTTTTTAAACTTTGAAGCTAAGAATTATGAAAATATTAAAAAGTTTGCTTTAAAAAATAAAATGTTGTCTATGAATAATTTTTTTAAAAACACCCTGAAAGGCAATAATTACTCAAAGGATGAAATGTCCCATTTTTACACCTTGAAATGTTTGGAGGAAGAAATTTCAGAGCGGACAAATGCAAAAGAAAACTTACGATTATTAATGGTAAAAAAGAAAGAGTGCAAAGAAGAATATGAAAAACATGATCAACGAAAAACCACCTCCTTCAACAAATTATCCCTCTTCACCACTAGCATCAAAAGTTTTATTGATAAGTATTACACCTTGGATTTCCCACAAACGAAATATTTATCATCGGTTTATTTTAAAATGATGCATGGCCAAATGGAGATGAATTCCAATAACGTTTCACTTTTGAATAATAAAAGGCCGTTCAATTTTCTCTTTAGCTTTAAGGAGCAGGGCGGAGGCAGCAACGGCGGCAACAACAACAACAGTCGCGGCAGCAATAGCGAAGGAGGCATCCACGACGCTTACACTCACGTCTACAACTATATGAAATATGACCTTATTACTCAAACTCGGAAAAACGCAAAAAATTCCGAGCACCCCCCTCATCAAGAGGATGTCCACGAGGAATCTGTAACAATAAATATGCACACAAAAGACAACTTTGATATTTCTATTTTGCCCGATTTAACTTATTTGAAATATTTGCAAATACAAATTGAAATTTTTTACCTTCTCAAGCCAGATTGTCTAGTGGCTAAAACAACTCCCGTTCAATTCTTAGGGCTCAATGGGGGTCGTAGCCTACTTTCAGATATATACAGTAACGAGGATCACATCCTTTTCTTCTCCGAGGACGAAGAATCTTTTTACAATTTTAAGTATGGCTTTCCCTTCTTTTGGCTGAATGCCATGGGGGGCAAGGCGTGCGGACCCAGCGCAGACGGCTACGCGCCTGGAGGGGGAAGCAGCGGAAATGCGCCCAGAGAACGCCCCACGAACGGACAGCTGGACAAAAATAAGCTGTCAGAAATTTACCAGTGGCATCTGGGAAGGACCCTAGACGTGTCCGTTTTTTTCTCCAAAATATTTACAAGAGGTAAAAATAGGCGGAGGGAGACGTAAAGAGACGTAAAGAGACAAACGAATGCCTTTGCATATGTGGGCACTCAACTCATACGTTCGCACATGGTGACAACCAGGGGGATAACACAATTTGAGCTCTTTCCCGTTGTGGGAGTTATGCCCATGCAAAGTGTGCACACATGTTTTATATTTAATTATGGTTCGATCTTTCTGCATATTTTTGTTTTTATTTTATTTTATTTTATTTTTATCCCCCCACCTTTTTTTGTTCTTTAGCGCTATTTAGGATATGGGACGTCTGGCAAGTTAACCACTACAAGTAAAACATACATATAAGATTAATTGCGGGAGTTTTTTTTTTTTTTTTTCATTTTTTGCACGCGCTATGCAATGGTAAGGTTACTAATCGTGCCTTTACTCATTTCCCCTTGAACCACTTTTTGCAGGTCCTACCCCAATGTGTTCCCCCCATTTACCCATGAAAAACATCTCGAAGCGTTAAAAAAAATCCAGTCGAGCTCGTTGCAGCAAGTATCATACTTTGACATTATAACCGAGGAGGCCTATTTGAAGGAGGAAAAGGAAAACACGGAGGTTCGTACCTTTCTCTTTTGCCCACGCAGCAGCGTTCACACCATAGTTCGCGTCCCGTTAGAGGGCAGTGGCATTTTCCTTGTCACTTATCACATTATTATTCCCCGTTCTCCATTTCATACCTCCGCCCACCTCTTCGCAGGAACGCACCAACGATAACCTTTACGCGTGCTGCTCCATTCAGTTATACGAGCCCTACGTGATCAAGTCGTACATTAGTGTCCCTTTCAACGGAAAGTAAAAATGCTTTTAAAAGGATAGGAGGAGAGAGCGTGACTTCCCCACGAGTACATAGAGGAGAAAATTTGGGCATCTCTCCCGAGCGTACATGCACATGTGCCTTCATACATATATATATATGCCCCTTTTTTCCTCTTTTTCTTTTAAGGGAACCGTACTTTAGCGTATTCTTAACGAAAAAGAAAACACAAAAGCGGTTAAAGGTAATCACTTCAAGAGAATCACTTGAAGGGTGGTGGTGCTTGAAGCGTTTACCCCCCGATCTGCCTACACGTGTGCGCATGTACATGCGTACTCCTATATATACACGTACGCACTTCTCCACATGATGTTTTTTTTTTTTTTTCTCTCGTCCTACCAGAAACTGCAAGACTACTTAAACACGACGCTCGTAAATAAGCACTCCAAGGTTGAGGATACCCAAAGGCAAATCATATTAACCTTACAGCTGGCAAAATTGAGGGTACGTGTGCCCGCGTTATGAGCATTTGTATTATGTTGCCTTCTGTATATGTGTAGAGCTTGTTTGTATAAGTGTCTTTTAATCTGTGCTACCGCATAACTTCCTAACGTGTACCCCTACTCATTCTCGTCTTCTTCTTCGTTTTTTTTTTTTCTTTTTTTTTAGGAGGGAGCACATAAGTATTACAAGTCGTTTAGCAAAAGTTCGACACCTATATTTGATGAGGAAATAAGTTGAAGCGCTAGGGATATGTGCGTCCATACCTATGCGTGTAGGAATGCGTCCCTCTGACCATTTTAGCAACACATGAATAAAGGCCACATAGCAGTGTGTGTAACTATTTGTTTAGTTTAATTGTTTGTTACTGTCTTAGTTGTTTTATTTATTTATTTATTTTTTTTTTTTTTTTTTTGCGTATCATTAGTCACTCTTGGCATTTTTCTTTTTTTTTTTTTTCTTAACATGTTTTGTGTTTGGATTGGCTATTTATATATATATATTTTATTTGCTTAAGTTTAGGTGAATTAATTTTATCATTATTTTCTTTTTTTTAGCGTATTTCAGCCCTTATGTTACCACCTATTTTTTCAACTCATTTGTTTCCCCATTTGTTTAAGCGTTTTTTTTTTTTAAACCCTTTCCCGTACAAATTTGTTAGCAAGCCTTTTCACTGTTGCTGCGTTTAACTTTACGAATTGCAAAAGCCCCCAACGTGTATGCTTCCAGTTAAGGCTGTGCAAAAAAAAAAAAAAAAAAAAAAAAAAAAAAAAGGGAAAAAGCGTTCTGAGAAACATATAAAAAAGAACTTAAGGGAAATTTTTTTTTTTCAATTTTGCAAAAAGTATAAAGTGAAAGATGACAGGAAAGGAAAAAAAAGTGAAATTATAAAAAAGCGAAAGGATGAAATTCCGAGTTTGCGAGTTTTTCCATTTTCCGCAATTCCCAAATTTCTCACTTAACAAATTTGTGAAATTTCTCAAATTCTCAACACTTCGCGATTTTTCGAATTTCATAAGTTTCCCTCGCGTTTCCTTTACAGAGTAAACAAAAAAAAAAAAAAAGCAAAAGTTTTACAAACTTGCAAAACGGGAAATGCAAAGTGGGTACAAATTAAAAAAGTAGCACATCCATTTTTTGGGCAGCCAAGCACGTACATGTGCGCCTTGCCACAGAGCAATCCCAGTAAATCTCGCAAAAAAAAAAAAAAAAAAAAAAAAAAAAACATGCCAAAGAATGCAAAACATCGTTGACCCCGATAGCACATGTAGTGGCAATTCAATTTCACAAAAGTGTAATAACGACTCGCATATTTTTAAGGAAGGCAAACAACACAATGGTAGCCAAAATGGAAGAGATGCAGAGCAAGAACAAATGGAAAATAACTACTTACTAAACCAAAACAAGCAAAAGAGTGGACCACATATAAGTGAAGAAAACACCACGGTGAAGACCAACAACAATGCACACAGAGAATGTAAAGTAGAACCTCACACGGATAATATTCATCATGCCTTTTCTGCTAATTGTCTAAAGAGTAAAAGCACATCAAAGGATTTTTTAACCAATGAGGAAGAAACGAGCACAAAAAAGAGCCTTGAAGAGGCCGTCAATAGAAGGAAAAAAATTAACGAAATGATTGCAGCGTACAATTCTTTAAATTTAAGTTTATCCAGTTGCAATTTCGGCAATTTGAACAATTTGGACAATTTGGACATTAGAAAGAAAACGTCTCTTTACAATTCTGATCATAGCGCTGCTGTGGATTATCAGCACCAAATGAGTTACAAGAAAAAAATTTCTGGAGGCAACTACTCAGGTGTGACGAATGAGGCGGAGGAGATAAAGGGAGAGCCTTACAACGGAAGAGGGGGTTGTGTTAATAATGAGATCGCGAGATTGTCTAGGAGCAACTACTCGAATAGTTTACTCCACCGCGGGGGGAACTTCACAGGAGGGGACGGCCTGGTGTGCAGAATAAAGGACCTGTCAGCAGGTCACGGGAATGGTAACGAAAAGTGCCACAAAAATTCGAGCGATCAGTCCCAAGATGACGACGAATTGGAAGACTATAAAACATTCGTAACCCTAGATAGCAACCATACCATATTCAAGACCAAGCCCCTGAAGCTTCCGGACCTCTCCTTCCTTCATAACAGCAGCCGTGTTTACAGCACCTTGGATTTTAGCAACGCGGGGGAAGACAATCACAGTAGTAACAACAACCGCTTCTGCAGAAATAGAATTCTGTACGAGAGTTTGGAAGGCCTCTCCTCCTTCGATCACGATGGGGACGACGACAGTGTTGGTGGTGGTGTCAATGTTTGTGGAGATATGAACATCTCTCACGTGATGGACCCTCACACGAAGCCTAACCCCATCTCGGAGAAGAGCGCAGAAAACGATGCACTGCGAAAGAAGACAACAGGTATGCCTGAGAGCAGTCATCAAAATTGCGTGGACAAAAATACCATGTTCTTCGACCCGAGGAAGGAAAGTAAAAAAAACGTCGCTAAGAATTTCTTAAAAAGTAGTAGACTGAAAAACTACAACGTAGAACAACTAATTAATGAAAGCATTAACCGGATTGGTCACGTGAGCCCGGTTAGTCGCACCGGAGGCCCCAATGTGAATCGCTTCCATTGCGGCGAAAACCGCGAGAGAAACAGGAGTCACTCCAAAAGGCATACAAACGAAAGGAACACTGACCAGAACAACGCAATGGAGTTTAATTTTGTAAAAAATGATTCCATATGCAATAACAGTTATCGTAGACAAACCGCCGATTTGGGAGGTACTAAAATTTCTATGCATATCCGCGCATCAAATGCCAAAATCGAAAAAGGCACAAACTATTTAAGACGAATCAGTAACACATGCGACATTTGTCCAGCTACCTACAACTGTGAGGATGGACCTGAAGGCATATGCAATGACAGAGGCGAACGACACATACGCAGTAGTGATAAGTATGCAAATACGCATACGCAGTATGGGCATCCGTATGATGTGAAAAAAAGGGGGCAGGAAAGTGAAACACACCGCAACAGTTTACACCGTAGTAATTGGCACTGCAATAGTTTGCCCCGACGCCATTCCTACCTTCACAACATACAACAATTTAAAGAAATGCTGCTGAGCGTGGCAACAGATAATCTAAACGAATATGCAAAGTGCCTACAGAGTATCAACAACGAAAAGTTAAAGAGCTACAAGTACTGCATCAAGAGAGTGAATGATTATAATATTAGTCAATATTTGAGTGCGACGTTTCGCGCGTCCATTCCAGTGAAAGGCATTGAAGAGTCGGTGCTGACCAACTCGGATACCTTTTCTTCCGTTCGCAACTCGGCGTACGAGAATGATGAGTCAAGTGTGTCCCCCCACGGCGGAGACACGAGTTGTGAGGAGTTGGCGAATGTGAGCATTGCAGGTGGTGATAGTAACAGTGAGTGTACCGGCGACTGCGTTAGCGAGTGGCATGGAGCCAATGGCAGATTAAAAGTTTACAAAAAGAAAAAAAAAATTAAACGCACCAATTGCCTGGAACATATCCCCAAGGGCGAATTTAATTCGTGTCCAGAAAAAATAAAAAGTGAAAGAAACGACACCACAGGCGTAAGTCGTATTGATCAAAACTATATGCACAACGGAAAGAGCAGCTATGCATACGAGAAAAGCCAGAAGCAGAGAAAAAGGCAGACATATGCAATTAGGCAATGCAAATTAGCGAACGTTACAAATAGTAGTCTTCAACTTAACTATGTTGACCAGAATTTAAAAAGACAAAACAAAACGTGTGAACAGCCACTGGATGGAAAAACGTACTTGGATGGAAGGAGAAACATATGTGGCCGCGATTGCAGTGACTACAGCGATTGCAGCGGTTGCGGATGCTATAGCTGCGCGCGCACACCGAACGGCCAAACCGCGCAGTTTTTAAAAAAAACACACGAAAGCAAAGTCAAGTATCCCCATAGCAAAAGCTGTGGTGGGAAAAACAAACAAAATGCATTTCTTTCCCTCGACGCAGATTCAAAGAACCACAACGACCTACTTAAAAGCTCGTCCATTTCTCCAAGTAGCCTGTGCGAAGGGGACTACAAAGAATTAGCCTTTAAAGACGAACCAAGTGGTCGCCAAGACATTTTTGCAAATGTGAAAAGCATAAGCAATTGTAATGACACCCTCATGGATGACCTCATGAGGAAGGACTCAACAAAGGGCGGTGGACATAGGGGCGAAAAGAGTACCTTTAAGAATGACATCGATCTTAAGGTGAGTGAAAATTTGGGTGATTACACCGAAGTGAATTATTTGCAAGAGTTTCCTCTCCTGAGGGAGGACAATAAATGTGTGAACATATATAATATAATGCGCAACGTAGATCAAGGGGACCCTCACGAGAGGACTTTCAAGGAAAATGGTCCACACCCCATTGTAGAATTCAACTCGAATGGTTATCCACTCGCACCAAACCTTCACAACCAAAATGGCACAAATGAACTGGGAAGGAACAACCACACAAGGGACAAGAAGCAATCATGTTCCACCAGAGGGGTGTCCGAAAAGTATTTCGTAGAAAGTGAAAAATTAAGTGAACCCCATCCAACAGGAGAGGAAAGGAGCAATGCGAGCTGTCAAAATTATGACCCCTTTGAAGATAAGAGGTTCACAAATGTTGTAAGTCTGTACCGTAGGGACAATTCTAATGAGGTCGAAACGGATGGGAGAGGAACAAGCCCCCCATTCTATGACCTACAAAGGGATAGCATGACCAATTGCGACTCCCCATTTTTAAGTAAAAAAGAAAAAGACATGAAGAAAGGGGGAAACCATGTTTTAAGTTTCATTGTAGAAGAAAGTCAACACAATTATGATAGGCACAGAGAGGACCACAAAATGGATGTCGAAAATACCCCCCTGGTGAATAATCCATACAGTTGTAAAAAATCACGTCTTCATTGCGGAGAGAAGTACGAAGGAAAAGGCATTGAAGAAATTATTAAAAATAACAAAACGAGGATTGAGCACCTGTATGATAGTGAAGGAAGTCAAAGTCATGTTTGCATGGGTGAAAATATTAGTGGATTTACACACACCGTGGAGGATGAGATGGAACCAAAGCAGAATGAGACCCCTTTCTTTGTTCACAAAATTGATAATTCGTGTAGCTCGCAAAATGATCCCTCCTTATATTCAGTTAACTTTAACTCATATAATGAGCAGATGGAAGATAAAAATATAATTTCGTGTTCTCTGGACAGCTTCAATGAAGAGTTTATTGCCCCCATATCGGTTCCCACCCCTGCGGCATCCATTTTCTCAGATGGAAGTGTCTATTCCCCGCATAAAGGAAACTTAAATGGGGAGGAATCTCCCCACCAGGGAGGTGTAAACGTAGAAATGAACACGGGAAGGGATCTACCGGTAGGAGGACCTTTCCAGATGTACCACCAAAATTATAATTGTGATACAAACCAGATGGGGTACCATAAAATTGGTGTGGTTAATAAAAAATGTGACTATGACTCGTTAGGTCTTCCCCAGGATTATTTTCCAAAAAGGGAAGACACTATCCAATGTAGTAGTAACCATTTCACCAATTTAACAGAAGGAGGGAACTACAGCTCCATCACCACACCTGGTGAACTCCTAAACAAGTTCTCAACAAAGAAAGACGAATCGATGGTGGAAAAGAAATTTAACCCATCTGATAAAAAGATAAGTAATGAAGAAAGTAACACATACAAAGGAAAACGAATGGGTGATCATATAGATAACGAAAATGTGAATCTCCATTTTCAACGCAAAGGTAGCATCGTGCAAAGAACTAATCAGACGTACCACCAGCAGAGCAGCTCATCATCTGATAGGGCAAGAAATGACACAATCGGAGAGGAAGGAAATGGATTGAAGAAGAAGGGGAAAAAAAATGAACTTGACAAAATTGTAAATACACTAGAAATAAAAGAAACAAAGATAAAGACCAAGCAAGGAATTTTTGAAATAACATCAGAGGGAAAAGTTCTCTTCACCTTTTTCGGCAGATCAGAAATTAAAGAATACAAAAAGGTAAAGAAGCATAAGGTAAATATAGACATCTCGAAACCGAGGAAGCTATTATTTATAATCGAAATAAATGGAATAGACATAAAAATAAAGGACGTACTGTTAGATGATGTGTTGGATTTCTACAACCTACTTGAAGAAGAACTGCCCAAGTCGCATCAAGTAAGATACGAGTATGCTTATGACGTCATCGAGACGTTGAAAAAACACACCCCTAAGGTATCTCTAACGAAGAGGTGGTTCGGGGTGTACAACCTTATGAGTAATGGAAGTACCCCCGATTTTATGGCTACACTGAAAAATAATATGTTTATTGACAAAATTGAAATTAAGAACAACCAGGTCATGTTTGCCTTGAAGGAGGGGAACACCGTAACGCTCAATATTGACGATTTGAACGGGGTCACCACCAAAATGACGAGGCAGTTGCGGGAAAGAGCCAAAAATACCACAGAGGAAGACGCCAAAAACGGATGTGAAGCACTCCTCAGAGATAAGGTTTCCGTCGATGAACAAGATGTTAAAGCTGTTTTACTCAATTTGCAATTACTCCTAAAAAAGACAGGAGTGTCCATAGATATAGTCATCCAAAACTGGTGTAATACTTTACAGGCTTACTCACAATGCCTGGACCTGTTGACAAAAGGGAACGCAGAATATACACTCAGGCTAAGGAAAGCCTTGAGCGACATAACAGCAACAACTGAGCTGCACAGGAGGGACATTTATTTTTCCATATTTCCTGTCATAGTTGAGGAGTGATGGGAGAGTGGGTGCCATGATTGAAAAGTTCTTCCCCTACGCGTTGCAGCATCCTTTTATAAAGTACTATTTAATTGGTTAAACTGCACAGCAGTACATAAATTTTTTTTTTTTTTTTTTTTTTTTTTTTTTTTGCATTCCCTACATGTACACACAAACGGAACGTGCATTATTTTATGTTATATTTTTTTTGGTGTTTTCTTTGTCTTATTCCGCCCATAAATGCTTCATACCGTGTATGCTTCCCGCACACACATTCCTTTGTTCTTGTGAAATTTTTAATCCAAAAAGTGAACAAAAAAAAAAATGGCAAAGATCCTTACATCTTCAGAAATTTTTTATGTATTGTTTTGGTTGGCCTTCTTCACATGAAATGGACATCGTGATTGAGCAAGGGGATCCAAGCGCGATGAAATTTTTTTTTTTACCCCTTTTGAAGGGTTATTCTCCCCCTAATCCTTGTGTTCACATTGTCTCCTGTGCCACAAAATAAAAATTGGGACGAATCGCTGGTACCGCAGTGATGCCTCTGCGCAGGGCGTTGCTATGGCCAGGGAAGAGCATAGCGCAGTGTGCGCCAATTGGAGGCCAACACAATGAGGAGAGAATTCTCCACCCGATGAGCCAAACTGGAGGGGCAGAAATGATAGAATGTCAATTCACACTTAAGTGCATTATTGTTCCACGTCTTTTCCCTTTGACGATTTGTGGACACCGCGGATATTCTACATCCTGTTTGTCACAAAAGGGAGAGAACAAAAAATAAAATACATATAAGACTTCCACCCCATTGTGGGGTTCATTTGGTGGTCATGTCTCCATTCGCGTGGGGTAATGACCCATGAAGGGGCAGCTTTTTTTTTTACTCCATCGTTTGTTCATTATTCTTCTTCATTGTTCTTGTTTTTCTCTCCTGGAGTGGCAACGATGGAAAAAAAAAGCCGCAGACTGCACGGGCTCGAACTGCCCGCGTCAATCGAATTTGACAACTACCAAGGAGGGGTCAAAATGACGAAAAGGCTGAGTATAAAGAACACTACGAAAAAGTTAATACGCTTTAGGTTCCTCTTCCAAAGTAGCGCATATTTTACTTACCCCCTTCAGGAGGTAGAAAGTGTGAGTGCGGGGTTAAACAAAAGTTACCCCATAACATTCTTCAACCCTGTAAACGATTTCCAAACTGTGAGTGAAATCTTAAGTATTGTAATCGAAGATAAGGAGAGGGACAAGAGAATAGAGGTTCATCTGAAAGCCACTCCCCTCAAATGCGACGTCATTTTTCCCTCAGTCCTGCACTTTAAAGATATGGTAATTAAGCAAAAGGGGAAAGAAGAACTAGTGATAAAAAACCAAGGTGCATTAAATGCAGTAATAAAATTGACACACAAATATACATCCAAGGAAAAAAAAGGAAAAATTAAATTGGAACCTTCTCAGTTTGTTTTAAAGGCTAACCAAAAACAAAATGTGCAAATTATACTCTATTCAGATTTGCCTCAAAAATTTCAAGAGTGGTTATCTTGCTCTATCATTGAAGTGCCAAAGGATTTGGAACAAAAAATATTTCCAAAAAGTCCTAAGGTAACAAATGCAACTTTGAACAATCTATGTGAAGACAGTGAAGAAAAACGGGTGAATGAAATAATTCAAATGATAAACCAGGAAGATGTGCAAGTGCGTTTAATAAAAAAAAGCATCCAGTTAAACTGGGTTGCCGTCTTACCACAAATTATTATCCTTTCCGATCAAGACAAGCAGATCTTCCATCAAAGCGTGGTCAACTTTGGCCAACTGCCCCTAGGACAACGACTCACCAGGTCTATCTATTTGCATAACGTTACCAGTGCCCCTATAATCGTCAAGGTGAAGAGGAAGGAGGAGAAAAATGCCAAGAAGAGTAACGTTTTTCACCTTTTAAAGGAACAATTCACAATAAAGGAAGGCGACAAAGAAGAAATCATTTTGCACATCAATGGACAAAACCAAGTTAACCAATACACAGAAATGATACAATTCAAAGCATGCGCAGATTACTGCATCGAGCTATTTTTCATTTGTGAAATTAAAAATGTGAAGCTACACTTTACCAAGGTGGTCTACGTTTTGGAAAATCTCAAATTGGGAGACAGCGTGACGGAAAAACTTACCATCAGAAATGATGACGACACGGATGTTCATGTCGAAATTGTAAACCTTGGATACATATTTAGTGCTAAGAGTACCAATTTTGTTATAAAAAAAAATTCATATCACTTTGTGAATCTCACATACCATTGTATATACCCGGTCAATGTGTACAAGAGATTATATTTCTTGGTTCATTTGAATAAGGAAATTTTTTACGTTGATATCATTTGCAATTATTCTGTTAGCTACAAAATGTGTCCTCTTTCGATGCACCACGTATTTAGAAGTAAGCACTTTATCCATGATAAGCAGACCTTATACACCTCTTACTATGACAAGAAGGACTACATTGACATCTTGGACTTTCCCCTCGAGTTTGACTCCTACGAGGATTCCACCTACGAGATGATAAATGAGATAGTGCAGGCGGACGACGGGTGAGGCTCCGCGAGGGGGGGGGTGTCCACTTCGTCCAACTTTGCCGCGATACCCACTTCGCTCCTCCACTTCTCTCCTCCACTTCGCACCTCCACTTTGGCTTCCCCCTCCCCCCGTGTAGTGACCTCTTCGTAGTCCCCCAGCAGTTGGAAATCCTAGAGTCGGAAGAAAAAAACATTATGATTATAAACAAAACGCCTGTGGAGTACACCTGCGTGTGGTCCAACGCAGTGGACCAGGGGAAAGAACAAAGTAGCATCTTTCAGATCCACCCTGTGGAAGCTCAGCTGCCACCCTTTGGGTGCCAGACGTTTAGGTATGACATTCATCATCGTGGTGGTTGGTGTTCCTAAATGCTTTCTCTTCTGGAGCAAAGCGTAACTGCATATCCCCCCAACTTCCATTTCTACGCAGAAAATTAACATAAATATATCCATTTTTTTTTTTGCGTACAATTTTATGAGAGATTCCTCCCCCTTTTTTTTTTTTTTTTTTTTTTTTTCTCCCCCCCCCTTTTTTTTTTTTTTTTTTTTCTCTCTCCCCCCCCCTTTAGAGTAAAAAATGCAAAGGCGCTGAAGGAGAAATATACGAAGGAAGTATACGAATGCATTGTTTTTCCCTCCAACAACAGGGACTACAGGAAGTGTAACAGCAAGACGTTGTTGCCCCCTCGGTTCCTATATGTCACTTTGTTTCAGTTCAAAATAAAATACCTATGTGAGACGGAGAATGTTCTGGACAGCCTGTGTGTCTACCCTAAACACATTTCCTTTTTGAATATTATCGAAGAGGAAAACACGTACGCCGTTATAAGGTTTGGGAATAGTTCGGACGTCGCACAGCTGGTTGACTTCACTCCATTCAAGGGCGACGTCGAATCGATCAGGTTAGGATCCCTTCCTTGAGGAGTGAGAACCTCCCCTCTCCCCCCAAGGCGCACTCACATAGCACATACATTATATGTATATATATGTATATTTACAATTGCATACGAGGGAGGTCATCACAAAACAATATTTTATCCTCTCCCCGCAGAGTCTGCCCGCTAGTGAACTACGTACCCAGAAGGGGATCCTTAAACGTCCTTATTTTTTACTCCCCCAAGAAAGCGCAGCTAACCGAGGGAGAAATTAAACTGTACTATTTAGTAAATGGCATTGAAAAAAAGCATATCTCCGTTTTCGTCTCGCATGAGATAAACAGCGTCTTGTTCAACGGGGGGGACCTCAACATAGTAAGACCATGCACCACAAATGTGCATATGGGTGTACATGTGTTCCCACTGGAGCAAAATCACCTTTTTCTGTTCTTACAAAAGTGTTGCTGCGGGGTGACCCGTGCGCATGTGCAAAGCGGGGTATACATTGCCCATTTGTCTATTTTGCCCATTTTATTTCATTTCCCCTCCCCTGTTATGCCGCACCGGAAAGAACCTACCGTGCGTAAGCACCGGCACGGAGAGCTCCAAAAAAGTGGCTATCGAAAATATGACGGAGAGAAACGTACTCTGCATGCTAGTTAAGGAAGATGCAACCTCAATTCTGGGAATTCATATAAAGGGAAATAATTCCCCCTTGGGAACGCAAAGTGGAGAAGAATACACACCCCACAGAAACGACCAAGTGGAAGAATTAAATACATGGCAATTGCAAAACGGGGAGGAAGAACAAAATGAACAAACTAGTTCACTTACAAATGAAGATAAAAAATACACCTTTTACTTCTTCTGTTTATTGCCCTTTGAAAAAAGGAACCTCCACATCTGTGCCTGTTCCGACTCTACGTTAACGACATCGGTGCCGCTGCTCCTCTCCTATATGCTGTACACAAATCAGGAAGACATGAAGAGCAAATTTACCTTTATAAAAAAGAACATGAAGGACCATATCAAACGGTGTAGGCGGTTCCTTGTGCACGTGAACATAATCAAGTGCGCCCTAACACTACACCCCAAAGTGGTTGAGAGTGAGCCGATAATAGTAGGCTCGAAATTTAACACAAAGGTATGCGCGGGGAGGTGCAGCGTGGCCGGATAAAAGTTGACACTTGTTAGCGTCCACATGTCGGCCTCAAAAATGTGATGATGCCTCACACACACTCTTCCAGATAAAAATTCACAACGAAAATCCCGTTAAAGTAAAATTTAAAACAAAGACTGAAATTGTCCAAATAGGAAACAGGAAAATATTTGGTACGTCTTGCAAACAGAACAGTCAATTGACGATAATTCGCTTCGTTTTCTTACTCATATGTATTTCTCATGCCCAATTGGACCACTACCGCTTTTCGTTATGTGTCCCAACTCAAATGGGCTTCTGTGTTTTTCTTTTCCACAGATGAAGACGAAATTAAAGAGGCAGACAGAAATGTTGTAGTAGAAAAAAGCGAAGACGTGATTAATTCCTTTTCAGGCAAATATGCCTACGTCTCTTTTAAGACCAATCAGCAAGGACGTTTCGTCTACCGCTTTTTCGTCATCGTGGGAGGTAAAAAGGAAGAAAGAAAATGGAGAAGGGAAGAAATGTCGAAATGGCCAAGTGTAGTAGAACCATCTCCACCCCCGATGACAAAAAAACGACCTGACAAATATGTTCCTTTTTTTTTTCAGGAAATAAGTAGCAACATAGGCAGAAGATTGAAGGCACCCCAAGTGTATTATTTCTACAGGGACTAATCAAAATGAGAGAACTTCTTTACAACACAGCCCCATCTCTCCCCCTCCTGCAGGAACTACGTCGACATTGTCCTCAAAGTGGTGATGCCCTATTTCCAAATTATCGACATAACTGATTTTAAAACTCCACAATCCATATACTGGAATATGATTTCCGCAGATCGGATAAATTCGTATGTCATTTTCTTTGAACACTTTTTACTTTTGTAAATGTCTACCTCTCTCACTTTATTTTTTGTCCACTCTTGGATTACCTTCACTGTGTGTATGCACATCCATTTTAAATGCCAATTGGAAGTGATTTTTTTTTGTTGTCTTCTGCTCCTCCTCCCCCTGTAGCTACTTAAAGGAAGACATGTCAACGTTAGACACAGAATACAAGAAAAGTCAAGGGATGGAGAACATGAAAAAGCTTTTCAACCAATTTGACTACATACCATTTAATATTGGAAACAGCATGCTCAACGAGGTGACAAGAGTAAACTTGGTTTTATTTAACCCACTCAATGTTCCACTGAAGGTTCATATAAATAGCATAAAGTCGTATATTCTTCCTGTCTTACCTCCCTACGTAAAAAATGAAGAGGACCAGGTAACGTTCATGCATGTGGTGGAGTTGTAGAGCGCTGGTGACAACGCGATGGTGGTACATAGCACGATCGTCTTATTTTTCCCGCTTTTTTTTACCTCCTCTTTTTCTCCTTTCCCCCCGTGCGCGCAGCTGGCCCGTCTGCTCTACGTAGACAACACCTACCGCAACTTCATGAGATGCCTCGACTGCTGCGAAATCACCCCCACCAATTTTGAAATAAAAGAGAAGAGCACAAAAACGGTCACTCTATTTTATAAACATAAATACATTGGGCTCCACAATATGCCCCTGATAATTGACGTGGAAAATGGAAAAGTGCTTCCCCTCAATTTGAGTTCCCTAACATTTCCCCCACAAGTGCCCCCAATATATTTGATGAACGTCAAGGTACTGAAAGATGCAAACATGTATAGCTTCCTTGTGGGTTAGCGCTTCGGACAGTCTCTCTTTTTTTTTTTTGCTTCATATCCTTTATTAGCCCATTTTGATCTTTAGACGTGTGTCATTCTTTCTCATTTCTCTTCCCTTTCTTCAGGATCTGAATGAACACGTCTTGGGGCTGAAAAATGAGTGCATCATAAACATTGACCTCCTGAATGATAGCGAGTTGGATATCCATTACGCCGTAGATCGGTGCAATCATTTGGTGGTTTTAAATCCCAAGGGGGTTATCAAAAGGCGCAAATACATTTCCCTCTTCATTTTGGTTTCGAGACTTTCCCCGACTATAATTAATGAAACGTTGACACTGAGGCCGCACTTCAGGCACCTGAACAGGGACATAGTAAAATGACTTGAGCGTGCGCATATTTAATTACAAATGTTCACCCTCCCCCCTTTTTTCGTGCTTTTCCATTCGTGTGTAACATGTATACATGTGATCTACCCACTCCCCCCCCCTTTGCTCCTCCCTCACAGGAGCTAGAAAATGTCATGATAGAACTAACGCTAAACAGCACATCTGATAACGTGTACAAAGATGCCCACAAAACGATCAACGTTTTTAATAACAAATGCATTGGTGACCTTCCTGGACAAGGTATCAAGACCTTCTGCTCTAACTTCGTCCCCGCCTATTCGTACATACACGCTCAGAACAAACTGTTTTATGTCTCGCCAAGCTCGATAAATATTCTCTATGCTCCGACGAAGTAAGTCATGTGTGGTAGCGCATGGGTAGAACAATAGGATGCAGAAGTAAATCCAGAGCTCCCATCTGAATGCACCACGCAAACGCCGCTTTTTAAATCGTGCCACATGTACCTTTGCCCATTCCACGACGATTCACCTTCCCCTGTTTTTTCTTATACCACGCGCAGCTCCATCGTCGAACGGATTGTCATAATAAAAAATTACTCATCATCTAGGAACCTAAAATTTAAAATACCTAAGAAAAACACCTTACCAGGAAATGTTTTAAAAATAACCCCCAACAAAGGTTACCTAAAAGTGGATCTGTTTAGAGACTTACCGACCAGATGTACTATGTGCATATTACACCCCCCCTTTTTTTTTAATCACTTGTCTGACAAAACACAGGAGTTGTTAAAAAGGAGGGACATATCATCCTCAGGCTTACCTTCATTCTGAGTGACATATTGTTAGACATCGAGGGGAACATTCAGATAGAGTTCAAGTATGTGCAAGATCAAGTGCCCTCGCAAGGGAAGAATGAAGAGGACAGGTGCAGCATTGGTGCTGTCTCAGAAACGAAAATTGGTATACAAACATGAGGGCATCTACACGTGCGCGTTTCATCTGCGCAACCGCATGCGCACCCGTTCTTCTCATTTCCCCCCACGGAGAGACATCCCTGCCAACCATGTGTCATACTTTTTGCAATGTTCCCCTCTTTTAAAACAACAACAGAAGAGGTCTACGAAGATACGAGAGACAAGCACGGGGGAACAGAAGAGCCTAACCCTTTACACATTTCCAAACCCAAGAAGGAAACAAAATTCGATGATCTAACCTTTTCCCATGCCCAAAAAATATTTGAGAATATCCAGCATTTCAAATATGCCTACGTAATTATGCCACAAAAAAAAAAAAATAATAAAATAAACAACCAAATGCACATATGTAATGCATGTACTGTAATATGCTTGTGTGCAAAGACCCTGCTGTGTACCCATCGCCGATCCACCCACCGCTTCTTCACCCCCCAACAATAGGACAATGTCAACAGCAGCATGCTACAAAAGGCTGTGCGGCGCCTTTACGGAGTTAAAAATGGTGGGGAAAAAAAAAAAAAAAAGAAGCACAACACAACACAGCAAGTGTACAAATGGATCACTTAAAATTATAATCTCAATATAATCTTCACAAGGTAACCCGTGTTTTTTTTTTTTGTTTTTTCTGTCCAATGTTAGGGGAACCTTCCAAAGGAGAAAGTCCAAAAGAGTCTATCAAACAAGGGATAAAAGACTTTCCCAAGTTTTATTTTTACATTCATGTGAAATTATTTACTTGCAACTCTGACGATGTGGAAACAGCAAAGAATAATTTTGAGAATTTGGTCAGAACTAATATTTACCCCCAACACTTGTACTTTAAAAGATACATTAGTCTGCCCATTCCTCTGGAGGACAAATCGAAAAGTGAGTTGGCTTTCCTTCTGAATTGTCCTTGCATGTGTAGATGCACATGTGAGAGTTCCCATTTGTGACACTGTGCGTGTGAGTGATGTTAAACCCTTTTTTTGTACTTATTCCCCTTTTTTATTGTGTGCATTCAAATTTGAAGGCTTCTTTAAAAGACACTACTTCGATTTCGACAAACTAGAAAGGCCAGTGGGGAAGCACAGCAATCGGGATGGGAAGGAGAACAGGACCCTTTGTCAGGAGGAAATTGCTTATTATAAGAGTACGCGAGCAATACTTGATGATTTGCGCACACCCACGTGGCGACTGAGCTGATGCACTCACATCTGCAAGCACATCTACATGTCTGCACCCACACCCCACAGGGGAAATCTACGCTTGCATGTTCACCGAAATGTTCAAAAGCATAATCGAGAAAGACATTAGGAATCACATTGCCATCCTTTCCGACATCAACGCATGCTCCATTCGGACGATTGACAGCATTCTGCGCGAGGACATAATTGACGTCATGCCAAGTGAGTTTACCACGCAGGGGGGAGGGAATATATGTGTGTGTGTTTACACGAGAACACATGGTGTGTGCACGTGTGTGAAAGTACCTCTCGTTAGGCCAGTTCCCCAACTTTGTGCTTCCGCCACCCTCTTCTTCATCCAACTCTCAGGAGCGAAGAGAACCGACTCCAACACTCAAATGAAGAGCGACTACTCATTTTTGAAGCCAGCAATTTTATCTCACTTCTTTTCACATATGTTTTCGGATATCATTGGAAGCCTTATGGGTGATGCGAATTTGTTTGCGAAAAATGTGGACTAAAAAACTTCAAGGGGGGAAGCGGAAAATGGCTCACTCTACTGGACTGCTCAAATGGCACCCCCCCCACTTCCGGGGAGGGCGCTCCGTAGGGGTACTGCTCATCAGTATGGGTCCTTGTCAAAATCGCCCCCCTCATCCACGTAACCGAAATAATCCTCGTCTTGGCCACTGCTCTCTGAAGAATCCCTGCCCGTATTTATATACTCGTCCCTACTCTTGTTGTAACTTTCAATTGCAGACTTCATCCGTATGGCCTCTCTTTTTTTTTCTATATAAACCTTAAAAATGATGTACAGGGAGTAGGATGCAACCAAAATTGTGGACAAAAAAAAAGGAGAGGATCTGAATTCACTAAACGAAATGGAAAAAAAATATCTTTTTATTTTTTTGGGAATATCCACACACAGAAAATTCTCTTTGAAAATATTCGTAATTGCAAGTTCAATTTTTTTGTTGACTAAAAAGGTGTATACTGGGTAGAGGACTAAACACAAGGTACCCGCGCAGAGGAATTTGGTCAGGCAATTTCTCTTAAATATTAATAAGTTGGATGTTATTTTACTCCACCAGTTTTTTTCTTTCATATTTAAATGATTGTTCTTCACTTGTCCCTTTCCATTTTCCCAATCGTGTAAATTTAAGACATGCACAGTGTTCTGTTTTTTCACAACATGTTGGTCATTGGGAAATATTTTATTTTTCTTGAAATGTGACAAATCATATTTTCTTTTTGCAATCCCAATGAAGGCATATTCATGGTCACCACTTTTTCCCTTGTGATAACTGTTCCGGGGGTATCCCAAATGTGGGTACCTCCTGTGGAGAGTTTTTTTAATGCATTTTACGCGTAGGAGAATTGCGAAAAGGAGGAGGGGGACCAAGGCGAAAAGGGGGACGGCTTTCATTTTAAGCGATGCCTTCGCCTTGTCCGTGTGGGGGTGCAGATGGACGTGCGGGTCAACGTGCTTGTGGACATGAATTTAGCCGCCTGTGAAAACTTCCTTCTGGGGCATACCTCACTCAGAAGGCATACTTCTTTGCTTCAACAAGGACGCAAAACGGGGACACCATCTTTTTTCCCTTCATGAAGTCATCTTGTGTAAAAAGTTCGAAGAGCACAAAAAAGGGAACTCACTGACTTGAATTTTCCCCTCAGTTCAAGCATAACATAAAATTTTGTGCCCTATTCGGAGGTGTGTTGAAAAGGCAGCTTTGTTGTTTTATTTTCCAGGCGTTCCATTTAAATGATTTTTTTTTTTTTTTTTTTAAAAAAAAAGGGGGTACCAAGTGGGGTTAAACGAAAAAAATATGTATATGTATATATATTTTCCTACACATAATTTCCACACCCCAGTTAATGCAACTTTCTTTTGAGAGACGGTTGACATTTCCAAGTTTAAAATTTTTTTTTAACCCATCCTGGGAATGAGTTGTGAATGCTGGTGAGAACGCTTGAGGAGTCTCTTTTCCGATTTCTTTCGATGCGTATATATGCCCTTATTTGTCGTATTTTTTTCGCTTTATTTTTATTTATTTTATTTTGTTTTATTTTATTTTTTGGTTCCTTTCCTTTGTTGTTGAATCACCCAGCAGCTCCTTGTACGCCGCAGGTTTGAAAAATAATTTGAGAAATGAATGGAACAGTTAATAAAACATTAAAGCGGGAAAATGCTGAGCGAGGAACCAGACCGTTTAACCCATTCGGAAATATGGCTTTGCTTTGTTTTGACTTGGCTTGCCTTGCTGTGCAGCGTCCAAGGGGGGGTTGCGTGAGATGCACACATACAACATGTGACCGCGTTCCGCAGGTGTAGTTGTTCCTACTTGTACATATACCCGCACAGGTGTTAGCATGGTCATACAGAACGCAAGTAGTATTCAAAATAGCTGTGGTAACCGTGTATTGGGCAAAAGGCGAAAAAAAAAATGGAAAGGGAATAAAGCCATGAGATAGGTCTGAAGGGCGACAAAGAATGTTGCACACTGTGATGTGAACACACCAATCCTATAAATACATGCAGTTAAAAAAAATGCATGAATTGTGCGGCAAAGGCTTGATGAAAAAAAAAAAAAAATGTCAGACTTTAAATGAGAACAAAAAAAAAAAAAAAAATTACAAACGAGCGCAGTAAAAGCAAGTCCACATATGAGCCTTGTTACGCAGAATGACTTTCATTTTGAATTAACTTCACCTTTTCAATAGAAAAATTTAAACCTTCCCTGGATTGTGATTTTCACGTTAAGTGCTGCAGCACGGACATGAACAAAAAAAAAAAAAAAATTCAAAAAAAAAAAAAGGAAAAGATAAGAAAAGAAAAGACTGCATGGACGGATGAACATACAAAGGAGCTTTTCCCAAGTGGTGGAATTTTCCCTCATGTGTACAAATCTGCATGATGCCCGTTTTGAAATTGTCCAGAGTTGCGTAGGGAACAAATGTACCTTTTAGCTTCATCTTGCTCCTTTTTTTTCACCACTGCGTTCTCCCACGTGGTTACTCGCTTGGTTTGTCAGCCATCCGGCGCAGCAACACGTCCCATCACATTCGTCGCTCTTCATCACATTTGTACCTGCTCATCGCGTGTCACTTCGTTCTGTCGCGCGTCCCCTTTTAACCCCCGTGATTGATCACATGATAACTTTTCATGTGGACGCATTGCCCGCGCTTGCCTCTGATATGTGAGTGAAGTGCCTGGACGTGTGCTACTGCGCATATAAGTACACATTTGCCCCTTTTTTTGCCTACATCAAGTGGATCCACATAAACACCCCCCCTTCTACATGCACAACACACTTAGAATTTTTTTTCCCTTTTATTCTCACCCTTTTAAAAAAAACCACTTGCTTTGTTCAACATCTCCTTTTTCTTGAATTTTATTTTTTCCCTCTTTTTTTTTTTTATCTTCTTATCTACATAACGTTTTAAACCTTTTCAAGGGCGTTCATGGGCGTCACCATTCTCTCGCCAAAGGGAGCAACAGAATTACTCGCTGCATCCCGTTTTTCCCCCAATTGATTTAGCGATTCGTCTACACAATCGGCTTCAGCATTTTTCTAATTTCATTTATGTAGCACTTAACCATACAACGTGCTCCTATGTATACTATGTCCCCATTTGCTTAACACAAAAAGAGGGGAAGCATATTTGTAATGTGCCTCACCGCTTAGCAGCCCTTAAAGGGGGAAGGAAAACAACACAACCGTTACATTGCGAACTCATTTTGTAAATTTTTTTTTCTTCCCACCTGCCCCCCCCAAACGCTATATATTTTTATGATACACACACAGGGGGAAAAAAAAAAATACTGTTAACAAAGAAGGTAAAAAGCTAAATCTACAAAGATTCAAAATTATGTCTGAAAAAGTGGTGGACTGCACCTTTTTGTATATATAAAATATAAAAAGGAAAAAAGAACAAAAGTGACAACAACAAAAAAAAAAATGTTAAGAAGAACGAAATAAGTGGTAAAACGCAACAACGCTAAGCAGCAGCGAGTGGCGCAACCGAACTGTTTAACCTGCGCAGACAAAATGAGAGGGCGCACAAGGCTATACTTGGGGAGTGCACGCATTTTTGAGTTTTTCTAAAATGAGGCTCCTAGCAATTTTTTTAGTGCGCTATCTTTAAGCTTGCAGGAATATCCCTATTTTCGTTTCTTCAAAAATAGAGCTTGGATGATTTTCCGGGCGGGGCGATACAGCGGCGGAGCGGGCTTGTGTTGCAGTCCGCTTTGTGTCCCACCTGCTGTGCTTTTCTTCGACCACGCGATGCACTTCTTCTCCTTCTTTGCTTTGCACACTTTGTCCTTTTTGCCCTGTTCTTCCCTTTCCCTTTTTCTCCCCACCCCGTTACACACCCATTTATTTTTGTCACAACTGTAAGAATACCCAGCGGTGTGAGAACCATCCGCGAAGGCACGCGCCTGCATGCCGATGCGCACAAGTAGACACGTGTCAACATATGCACATGTGTACATGTAGTACCTTCCTGTGCACACCTTTCTAGCGTTGTCCCTCTGGTAGACTCTCCAAAGGAACTCGCTCCATCCCCTTCCCTACACCCACAAAAAAAAGCGAGCCACATTAACATGATATTGGATGTACTCAAAAACAATTTTGAAAAAAAAGGGGAACCTTTTTATAGCAACAAAATGAGAACTAGTATCGAAAAAGAAAAGAAGAAGAAGAAGAAGAAAAAAAAAAAAAATTTCTCGTTGCAGGATGAGAGCGAAAAGGATACCACAAAGGTGGAGATCACAGATGATGCAAATTCACTAACCGAAAGTGAAGCACATAGTAAAAGTCAATCCCCAAGTGATGGAAAGGACGATAGTCCTCTTCAAATTCAAAAGGGGAGAAATGCCCCCCTAAAGACCAAGACAACCACGATGACGAGGAAGAAGAAAAAGAAGAAGGAGAGAAAAAAAAATGCATCGAAAGGACTCTATATAAACGTAAAGAGGAAAAATACAAACTATGAAGAAAACGAACAGGAAGAGTTCACAGAGGACATTTTTGAAAATGAGAATTTTGACGAGCTACAATTTGTGGAGGACGAAAATGTGGAATACAAAACTTATAATTCCTTCTCCAATGCCGGATTAAAATTGTTAAGTAAATATTCAGTCGATGATGGAAAGGGGGAAATCATCAAAACGGACAGAAAGAAAAAAAGACAGGGACGACAGGGGCAACAGGAACTACAACAAGGGGCACAAGATAGATACGACAAGTACAATTTCAACCATGAGGAACCGTTTAAGGGTAATCACAATGAGTTCGACTCGGACATCATCAAATTTTTAAATAGGAATAAAAAGAGCATTGATTATGACAAACGGAATGGGCGCCCGTTTCAAAAAGAAGACGCCTATTCTTATGACACCAGTGGAGGCTATGGTGGCAAGAGGGGGAAACCGAAACAAATGCACGCTTCTCGGGAAGACAAGGATAACTATGAACATTACCAGGAGGAGAACGCGGACTATTATGACCGAGAGGAGGATGACGACCAAAGTGGTGGCAGCCAAAGTGGTGATGAAGAGAGTAGTGAAGACTATAATACCAGCGAAGCGCAGTCTAAGTACGAACACAGCGGAGGTGTAAATGGAAGCGGTAGATTTAAAAGGGGTGGATCACTGGGGCAGGAGGAAGAAGAGGGAGAAGAAGAGGATGACGAAGATGAAGACGAAGACCAAGAAGATGAAGAAGAAGGGGAGGAAGGAGATGAGGGCGAGGATGAGGATGATGACGACGATGATGAAGAGGATGACGGTGAGAATGACCGCGACCCCTTTGATCGGAAGGAGGAAACCAACATGGAACACCCAAGCCGCAGAGCCCCCCTCGCAAGCGAGTACAAGTACCCAAACACCCCAGCGGGAGGACACATCTATTATAAAAGGGAAGACAGTCATTTTGAAAATGAAGAGAACATATGGAACGCTACAAAACATGACCCCATGGAACGAATATATGGAGATGAAAAAAGGCATGAAATAAAACTTGGGCACCGGGGGAGCGGGAGGAAGGAAGAAAATTCAAAAGTAGAATACCCACAAAAAATGCAAAATAAAAAATCTGTGAATATAAACGTAAGAGAAAGTAATTTAAAAAAAAGTACCACGTCTTATGGAAGGCAATACAACATGCAGAGGAGTACCATGGAGGGAAAATTATCCTTGAGAAATGCCCTGAACATTGGGAACCCCAACCTCAGTAAGGACAAGTACAAATTTAATCTCCCTAATGTGGAGGAAGATAAGCTAATTAAGTTTAATATAGGTACACACAAGATCAACAACAGTAGGAGCAAGCCAATGGACAAAGATGAAAGGATAAGTGCATTCGACTACATGCTTCATTCGTCAAACCGGAGTGTGCACGCAGGGACCAATGACTTTTTTTTAAAAAGAGGGGGGAGAGAAGAAGGAGCAGAAGAAGACTGCAAAGATAGCCACTTGGGCCAAGCGGGACAAATACACCAACCACTGAGGGAAGAAACGCAGAAAAGGGAGAAAATGCAGAAGGATCCCCAGGGGGAAGAGAAAAAGAAACATAACATCAAAAACTTCCTAGACAAAATAAAGCACAGGAAAAACAACGAAGATATGCTTAAACGGGAACAGAGCAAATATGATCATGTGGAGAGGAGTGAAAAAAAGGACAAATTCAAAATGAAGTTCACGGACATTCTGCATGCCAGGACGCTGGGTAATTTTTTCCATCGTAACAAAAGTATCGCCGCGAAGTCCTTATCCCCGCAGCGAGAGAGGGACGCCAGCGTCGAGCCCTCTATCAAGTCGAACGGCGTAGAGAAGTTCGGCTGGATCCACCGAGGCAAGTCCGACCCGAGGCGCGACGACGACCAGCCGTCCATGATAAAAGACGAGATGGCACATTACAGCACAAAGGCCGCGGTCAAAATTATGGACACCTCTTCGAACGAAGGGGAAGACATCAATGACGGTTCTATTAAGCAAAGTTTACGAAGGCCATATGACAACAGGGGAAATAATAACACACTGGAGTTTTCCTACGAAGGGGGCTCTTCGTCCAAAGAACCGATGTCGCGCAAAGTGGCCCCAGTCACATGGGATGGAAAAAAAAACGTCATGGGGAAGTCACCCGACAAGAACAAGAAGAACCCTAAATCAGAGAACTCCAAAACGAACAACTCCAACGATATGATGAGTGGAAAACACAGCAGGAAATATCACACAAGCAAGCACGACTTGGATGAAGACACGAACAGAAAGGTTCATGGAAAGGAGAGTATTATACCTAACATATATCAACAACTCTATTATAGAAGCCCCCTTGGTCATGAAAAAAATAAAGTAGCTCAATTTGAAGGTGATCCAAAGAGGGGAAGACAAATTACATTACAGGGAGGAAACGGAAGGGATGAGGAATCAGATGTTAAAATGGAACAAACGTTAAACAGAAAAATGATCGAGAACAATGAACTGAAGAAAAGACATGAAAATAATGATGAAGTGTTGGCGACCCCATTTTATATAAAAAGCAAAATTGATAAGGTTCTAAAGAATAGCGAAATTTTTGAGCGATCCGCAAGAGCCACCTTTCAGCAGTTCGATGTGAAAAATAAAAACTTCCTGCATTTCAGCGAGATCGAGTCATTGATTCAGAAGCTTTGCTTTAATTTGGAGCTCCCCCCTGTGGATAGTAAGCAATGAGAGGAGTGTTGGGCATAATAAGTCTTGTGCCCGCAGCATGCCAATTAGGCAAATATGACCATTCATTTGTCTGCGCAAGTGAAATTGCGTCCCTAAATCACCACGTGGCAACATCTTTCTTTACTTCGTGTCTAACCACTACGTGGCGATTTCCCCCCCCCACCTGCAGAGAACATCCTGTCCATCGTGTACAAAGACTACGACAGCAGCAAGAACAACAGCATGAACTACACCGATTTCAGACAGATGTACTGGGACCTGTTGAAACAGATCAAGAAAAAGTATTACCCAACCAAAAATTTAAAAATAAAAAGAAATTGTATAATCAGCAGGAAGAAGCTGGGAGGGTACGATTATTCCTCGATATACAATTACCTGAGTTTTAAAAAAATTCTTGGATGTGGTGCCTTTGGAGAAGTACACCTTGTGGAAGACAATATTTGTAAACTGTACAAAGTGGTGAAAATATTAAAAAAAAAAAAATTAAAAAATATAAAAATTAACGAAGAAATTAATGTGCTCATATATCTAGATCATCCAAACATTATAAAAATATTTGACGTTTACGAAAATGTGGATTGCACGTACATTGTCATGGAGCTTTGTGAAGGAGGGGAACTTATGGACAAAATAATCAAGTCTTCAATTTTCAATGAAGAATATATAAAAAATATTATGTTTCAAATTTTGTGTGCCATAGCTTATATGCATAGCAACAACATTGCTCATAAGGACTTGAAGCCGGAGAATATTCTGTTCAAATCGAAAGGAGATGATACATTAAAGATCATTGATTTTGGACTAGCTGAATTGATTAATCACACAGAGGGAGTTAGCAAAACTGCTGCAGGGACTGTCCTCTACATGGCACCTGAAGTTTTTAAAAAAAAATTTACCATCAAATGTGATATATGGTCAGCTGGAGTTATTATGTTTTTTTTGTTCTCCAAGAATTTGCCCTTTTGTGGGAACACCTACGACGAGATCAAACTCAGCATATTCAAGGACGAGCCTGACTACAAGAGCTTGAAGGGCCGGCTGTCTCAGCCCGCGTTGCACATCTTGAAGCTTATGCTGGAGAAGGACCACACACGGCGCCCCATGGCGGCAGTGGTAGGAGCGAGCGTCCGTCTGCAACTGCAGTGATGCAATACGGCAACCACAATTGAGCAATACTACAACCACAATTGAGCAATACTACAACCACAATTGTACAATATTACCACACGTGAGAACACCCCTTATCACCCCCCTCACCCCTACACTCAGCTCCTGCACCACCCATGGTTTCAGGGCTTCCTAGACCCAGTGCAAATCAACCCTAGCACTCTCAGCAACATAAAGGCCTACATGAAGCAATCCAACATCAGGAACATCATAGTAAACATAATGGCCCACGAGCTCAGCGTAATAGATAGCCACTTAAAGTACATCAATGAGCTCTTCTGCAAAATAGACACCAATCACAACGGTTCGCTGAGTCATGGGGAAATTTATACCGTGCTGGCCAATGCGGGTATCAAGAAGTGGGACATCAACCGAATCGTGCAGGCACTGGACATCAACGACCGCGGCAGCGTGACCTACACAGGTGCTCTCTCACACCCACACATGTTCACACTTACATGTGCATACTCGTACGTTTAGGCAGCCCTTCGAATGTCGATGCGCATGCGCACACTCTATCTCCCAATGCTCGTTCACCTCTGCAGAGTTCATCGCCGGATGCTACCGATGGAAGGACATAGAATCCACTTTCTTAAAGGCGGCCTTCAATAAGATCGACAAGGTTACCGGAGAGAGAAGTGCACTGGGGGGGGATTAAGATGCCGCCACGCCGTTGCCAACGACGCTTACCACACCGCTACTATACCGCTGACCACACCTTTGCTCCATGGAGTCCCCTCAAAACGAAACGACCTTTACGCCACCACGCAGGACGAAGATGGCTACATCAGCAAAAGCGACATAGTAACTCTCGTCCAGGACAAGGTCATCGAGAGTCACGACGTGGACAACTTTTTCACTTCCGTGTTCCTTGTGAAGAAGGGCTTATCTTGCGAGCGCCGCGCGAACAGGGTAATTCGAGGGAAAACAAAATGATAAGGAGAAAACGGGCGACCAAATGGAACGAAAAAAAAAAAAAACGACAAAATAGAAAACGCGTCCGTTGCTCATCCCCACGCTCGTTCATCCTCCACCCCCTCGTCTGCAGATAAACTTCGAAGATTTTAAAGAGTACCTTTTAAGCACGTTTTAGGCCCAAGTGTAAATAGGAGCAAAAATAAAACACAAGTGTGGATATGTACAGCATATTTCCACGTAAAACTAAAACATAATTTTTTTTTTCTTTTTTTTTTTTTTTTATACCCATCCCTTTGAATTGTACTTGTGAGTAAAAATTGCAGGAACACCTAATAAATGTGGGCAAAGCATACGCATGCGTGAGGCATATTATGCATGCACACATATATTGTTTGCGTGCCTCTTCTTTTTTGAGTTTCCCTCCAATGGCCCTTACCCACTCGTTCTTCCTTCCATTCCACCCACACTTCTTCTATAGCTTAACAAGTGATTACACGGGAGCAGTCCGTTTGCAGTGCCCGCTTCCAGCTTGTCTTTAGCTGTGCCGCTCCGCATCTGAGTTAGCCACAAGAAGGCGAATGGCCCTTGTGCAAACCGCGTCCAAACTAACCACACCGCAGCTCATCACGCCACCCCTCCGTTTGTTCCATTTTCAAATATTTTGTAAAAACATCACACGATGGAAAAAGTGCCCTTTTTTTTTTTTTATTGTCCACGTGGATAAACCACCACATACACTTTTCCAAAATGGGATCTTCAAACTCCTGTTATCAAACTTTGATTATGTCTTTTGTTAAAATGGGAGGAAAAAATAAAACTAAATAAATTGTGCTCTCCCAGATATGCTTTTTTTTTTTTTTTTATTCTTCCCCCCCCTGTTTTATCTGTCCACATTTTTTAGTAAATCAATTGCACACACCATATGTGAAAAAAAAAAAAAAAAAAAAAATGCCAATATTTTGGTTTTATTTGGGGTACATTTTTCCAACATTCGCGTGTATAGGTCTCCACTTGAGCACCTGTGCACATTTGGCAGACGTTAGGTATAAAACGTATGCCTCGCTAAATATATATACATTAGACAGGTACGCCATGTATTAGGGTGAGCTCTCAAGCTAGGGGAGTTTGTTTGTTGGGCGGAGGTGTATATATGTATCTTCGCTTTAATCACTCACATTTGTGTAAGCGATGGGGAAAAGAAACTGTGCAAAGGGTGTAGAAGAGGCACAGTAGAGACTTAGAAAGAGAGCAGAAATGGTCCTTTAAAACCGCGCAGGTGTAGGGGATCTCCTTCCTAGCACTTTTTCTTATCAGTGCAAAAAGTGTCTCTCCATTTTCACCTCCAAAAAAAAAAAAAGAGGAGGAGAGTCTACGCGCGTGTAACTTGTTCCCCGTCTGTATATTACCTTGAGGGGAAAAACAAAAAAATCTCTAAAATTGCTCCTGCAGTGCGGCCATCTCGCCGTCGCTAATCGCACACGTGCAGTAAATACATACACGCTTCAACACATATGCACCCGCCCTGTCCGCGCCGAAAAACATGACAAAGGATCCCGAAGGCCAGTATGAGGCCCTAAGTCTGACCGAGCTCAAAAGCAGCGCCCAGGAGAAAAGCGTCATTGGTTACAGCGTGAACTTCACCTTAGGAGGGGTGCTGCTTTTCGGGGGGTTCAAAGTAGACGCAGAAGCGAATGACAAGGAAAGCGACAAAGATGGTGAAGCCGGTAGCCAAAGTGGCAATGACAGCATTAGTGGAGATGGCTCGGGGAATGTCTGCAACGACGCCTATCTGGTTCACATCAAAAAGGACAAAGTTGAGTATGAAACGTTAAGGAGCAAAATTAAACCCAAATGTAGGTGCTACCACAACTCTTGCACTTTACTAGAAAACTATGTTGTCATTTTTGGCGGGCTAAATAGCGAAGTGCCTTTTGTTGCGCTTAATGATTTGTGGATTTTTAACAGCGCAAAAAAAACCTTTGCGGAGATAAAGGTCAGTTCCTATGAAGAAGCTACTGAGGGGGTGGAGACGGCGCCTGGGTCTTCCAGAAGTGAGGCAGGGGGAGAGGAAGAGGAAGATGAAGACGAAGAAATGTACGATGGATCTAAATTAAGTGGTGAAGAAGATTACACAAAAGTGGACGCGGAAGAAGACGGCAATAATCACAGTTACATATTGAGCAGTGTGCACTTGAAAAAGTTAGGGAAATATTTGAGTTGTGACAAAGGTGCACTTGCCAGTCAGGGTAGCTCCGTTGTACCCGCCCCGAGGTACTTCTCCAGCTTAGATCTATACGTAAGTAAGAAAGGGGCAGCAGGGGGAGTGGTAGAGGGAGCCGCAGTAGAAGCGACAGTGGAAGCGGCAGATGGGGATGAAGACGACGGAGCGGAAGATACAGGGGGAAAGGACCCATTAAGCGTAAAGAACAACAAAATTGTCCTGAAAAATGCAAATGCGTACGAATATTTCAGCCTCATCCTATTTGGGGGGTACGGCGGGTACGACAGAAGCAGCTTCAACGACTTGTATGAATACGACATTTTGAGGAACCAGTGGGTTTTACGAGTCTGCAAGGGTAGCACCCCCTCGAACAGGTACGGACATGTGTCATTCATCAATGAAAATAATTTATTCATTTTGGGTGGAACCAATGCAGAAGTGAGCTTTAATGACATGTACGCCTGTAACCTGAGAAACAACGAATGGTCTGAAATAGATTTCTCCTACTCCTTCAATGTCTCGAAAGTATTTTGCCGAAGCGTGATGGTGGAGTCCATTGACAGAAATATCATTTTCATTTTCGGCGGGTACAACATTGTTAGTGATGAAAAAGGAAACAGAAAAATTGAGTACACCAATGCAGAGTTGAATATGTTGAAACTGTATGACACATTTAAGTTGGAAGATTTGAAGTACACCGTGGTTAGCAGTACAGATGCTAAAACAGGTTCTTCTGCATCTACAGGAACAGCTCCCATTATAACCACAACAGCTAGCAATGCGCATAATGGATCCATAACAAGTACAAATAGGAACCAACTCAGCCAAGCGGATAAATTAAAAATAACACAAAAGGGACAAAATTACGAGAAAGATGATCCTACAACTAATATAAACTTTTGCTCAATCACTTACGATTTTGTGGACGCCAATTTGATCATCACAGATTCAAAGCAAAAAATTTATGTGATAAATATAAGTAGAATTATAGGACCCAAGTATGCCATTTTTTCCCTACTACCAAGACACTGCGATATTGAAGGTCAGAAAAAAATGCTCTTGAGGGGAAAAGGATTTATGAATGAAGGAAAGATAAGTATAAAATATACATCTGATGATGTCGACCTGTTCAGTGAAGGAATTTACATTAATGAGAATTACATCTACACCATTGTTCCTACTGCAAAAGACAAAATTAAAAACAACATCTGTCATGTACACCTATCCATCAACGACAAATGCTACACTACTAATAAGTGCGTCCTGGAGTATTACTACAATATAGATCCAAAAAAGACCCTAATTTTTGGATCTGGCTTGTTAGAACCCATTTGTTTAAAAGAACCCAATATTTTCTTTCTCATAGCTAGAAACTCCTTGAACGAAAATAAAAAAATCGGAGGAGATAAATTCCAGATCAGCATCACGTATGAACAGGATGGAACTCACCACGACGTGAAATACACCCTGTATGATATTAACAATGGGGTTTACATCGTGAAGTACTTCCCTTATGAGGAAGAGGGAAAACACAGCGATGTCACCCTCCCTGCCATTCCGGAGGGAGAGGTGCACCCTGCCCAAGGGGGTTCCAACTTGGAGTCCGCTGGCGCAGCCACGGCTCATGAGGCGGTGGAAGAGGTAGGGGCTGAGGGGGCAGTGGTAGTGGAGGCAGCGGAAAACCAGGAGAATCCGAGCAAAGAGGAAATTGGCCAAGGAGATGAAAGCGGAGGAAACGCGGAAGAGCCTCCAATCACCACAGGAACCATACACATATCGGTGAAGCTGAAGGGGGAAGACACCCGAAACAGTCCCTTCGCCCTGAAGGTGTACAGCCGAGTAACGGACAAAGCCATGTTCGTGAAAAAATTTATCAATGATCGGTTAGAAGACTTAATAAAAAAAGGAGAACGCGTTCTCAATTTGATTAGAAACAAAGACTTGAGCACCGCCAACCTAATTGAGCTAAATGTTAACATAGAAAACTTTGTGAACAAATTCTCCAAGTCGATATATGACATAAATACGATCCAGCAGTACATCCTATATGGGTCCATAGATGCGGGGATGGTGGAGCCAATACTAGAACAGGTGCACCGGGAGGGGAACGTGGTGGACGCCTCTCTGGAGGACGAGTCTTCCATCGAGAGGTACATCGACGAATTGATCAGCGGTCAGAGTGCAGGAAGCGGCACAAACGGAACCCCACCAGACTCGCCCGCGCACGGAGCAGGCAACGCCTTCCTGAAGGTAAAGGACAACGAAGGCATTGCCAATTTTATCGATTCAAGTAAAATGAAATTCGTGGATTCCGCGGAGGCCACCTTGGTGAAGAGGCTGAAGAGCTACATTGCGCTACTGAACAGCGAGGAGTCGAGCCTTCGCAGCAGGAAAGAGGCGAAGAAGAGTGACGGTGGGGTAGGGGATACCGGTCTTGGGAAAACTGCTATGGGGAATCCCCTCGAAGAGTACCCAACTCAGGGAGAAGATAACCAAATAGAAGTGATCATAAATTTGCTGACCTTCTACCACAAGCTGAAATCTGTTTGCATCTGTAAAAAGGAAAAGGAGCTAAAGGAAGAATTTGTGAAGGAAGAAAAGGAAAGCATAAAAAGGATAAAGCTTAATTACAACAAATTTGTAAACATAAAAAAAAATTTAGAAATTTCAAGCGTCTATACACATAGTAGTGGATACGAAGGGTCCTTGAAAGAAATTGAAAATATGAAAAAGTACGTAGAAGAAATTAAGGAAGAAGTAAAAAAGGTGGAACAAATTTCACAAAATATTGTAAAAATAGAAAATGTAGAAGAATTAAGCAAAGACATAGATAATTTAGAAAAAGAAATTGATGAAATAGAAAAGCTGTGGATATTTATAAAAAAAAAAGATCAAGTGCTTAATGGATTTCTGTTCTCTACATTTAACCACTTAGATGTGGAAGAGTTCGATATGCAAATGAAGAACCTCCAGAATGAATTCAAGAAAATCAAAGTGGACAGGAAACACAATATATGGAAGGAAGAAATGGCCAAGTTGAAGGATAATATCAAATTTGTATCTGTTATAAGTGAATTAAAAAAGACATTCATTAAGGAAAGACACATAAAAGAGATCGAAGTGAGCATAAACGAGGAGAGATCTAAAGAAAACCAAGAACCAATAAACCTTCTCATTGATGAAAATACTCTGACAATATATTTTTACAAGCTTAATGTGATCAAGTACCATGAATCCATAGAAGAAGTGATCATCAAAGCTTATAATGAAAAAAGCATAGAAGAAATAATACAGAAATTTCAAGACTACTGGGATGGTATCCATTTTAAGCATAAGAATTACAAAAATGGAATAATTTTGACCTACGTGGATGATATATGCATAGAGACCATAGAGGAACATCAAATGAGTCTCCAAAACTGCTTCTCGTCTAAGTACTTCCTCTTCTTCTCAACGGAGCTAAACATTTGGCAGAAAAAAATTTCTAATATTTACGAGGTCATTCTGCTACTCAAAGATATAGAGAAGCTCTGGGTGTATCTTCAAAATATGTATGTCTACTCAGAGGAAGTGAAAAAGGAATTGCCCTTGTACTCCAAATTTTTTCTCATCATCAATGATGAATACTTGGACATGCTCAAGCAAATTATTGGGAACAACACCAAGGTCGTGGACTTTGCTAATGAGGAGGGCATTATAGAAAAGTTAGAAGAACTAAAGGTGAAGCTCTGCAAGAGTGAGAAGCCTCTAAACGAGTACCTTGACTCCAAGAGGAAATCCTTCCCTAGGTTCTTCTTCATATCGTCTACCGACTTGATCGACATCCTCTCCAATGGGAACAATTTCAAGCTCGTCAATACCCACGTGCAGAAAATTTTCCTCTCCATTAGGAAGTTTGTAACGAGTGGGGAGACCCTCACGGAGTATGAGCTCGGGAACGAAGTTAGTTTGGGTGGTTCCACAGGTAGTACGCCCCCAAAGGAGAGCAGTCCAGCCGAACTAGAGGGCACCTCTCCAGACGTCCCTGTGGAGGTACAAAACGAGGTGATCACGAAGCTCATCTCGTCATACGGAGAAGAAATATGCAACTTCCACGAACCCCTAGCGCTCAAGGGAAAGGTCGAGTGCTACCTCAACGACATCATAAAGCATATCAAGTACACCCTCAAGTACTACATTGCAAATCTGTTAAAATTGAAACACATGTACACTAGGGAAAAGGACAAATGGATAGATCAAAATTACCTATCGCAAGTTTTTATCCTTTGTAACTCCATCTTTTTCGTTCATGACGTTGAGAATATTCTACGAAAGGGAGATTCAAATGTCAAGGAAAACCTCCAAGCTTACTATAAGAATCACATCACTCAATTAGAAAATGTAATTAAAAAAGTTCAAAAGAAACTGACGGTGAAGAATAGAATCAAAATTATGTGTATAATTACTCTTGATACTTTTTACAGAGATATTTTGGAGGTCATCTTAAAAAATAAAAATTCCATTTCGATAAACATGTTCGATTGGCAATCACAAATTAGAATGTACCCATATTTTAAAAATGATAAGACTAATGCTGATTCCTCCTCGTGGGGGAATACCCAGAGATATGGACAAAGCCACGCCGTAGGTGAACATGGAGAAGTGACTGGGGAGAAGAAACAAAGCGAAGAGACAGAACCATCAGTAGAAAAAGACACAACGGAGAAAGAGATGAATAATCAATCCATGGGAAACCATACAGATGTAAACATTTATGAAGAAAACTCTCTAAACTTTAAGCAACTTTATATAAAAATAAAAATTATGGATTGCTCTTTTAACTACTCATATGATTATATTGGAAATTACCAAAGGCTAGTTATTACTCCTCTGACAAGCCGTATATACATCACAGCTACACAGGCCTTAAGCCTGTATATGGGATGTGCACCCGCTGGTCCTGCAGGTACGGGAAAAACTGAAACAACGAAAGACTTGTCGAGCTTTTTTGGAAAAAACTGCTACGTCTTTAATTGCTCAGATCAGCTGGATTATAAAAGTATGGGGAATATATTTAAGGGAATTGGAAGTACTGGGTGTTGGTGCTGTTTTGACGAATTCAATAGGCTCATCCCAGAAGTGCTTTCTGTGTGTTCTATTCAATTTAAGTCCATCTTGGACTGCAAACGTAATAATAATAATGTGTGTATAATTGGGTCTGATGAAATTATTGTGAAAAAGAACTGCGCCGTTTTTATCACCATGAACCCGGATTATTTGGGTAGATCTAAATTACCAGAGAGTCTCAAAATTTTGTTTAGACCTATCACAGTCATTGTTCCAGACTTTAATAAAATTTGTGAAAATATGCTCATGGCTGAGGGGTATGTAGATGCCAAATACTTGTCCATAAAATTTACGACCTTCTTTGAGCTGGCGCAAAGTCTACTGAAGGAGAAGCATTGCGACTGGGGGCTCAGAAGCATCAAGAGTGTTCTTACCAAGGCGGGATTCCTCAAGAGGACTTACCCGGACATGGACGAAAACAAATTGCTCTACTCGGCCATACACGATATTAACATTGCGAAAATATCTGCCTCCAACTGCCCCGTCTTCTCTGGGCTCCTCAATGATATATTCTTTTCCCACCAGGGCGGCAGCACGAACGGTGTTGAAAAAGATACGTCGAGCGATGCGGTGAAGAAATCAGCCGCGGGTGCGCCAGGGGTGGCGGAAGACAAGGTGCAAGGTGATGAAAAAATGGTCGTAAATGGAGTAGCAAATGGAGCAGCAAATGGAGTGGAGAACGTCGCTAACGGCGCCGCTACTAACTCTCCTGTGAAGCCTCCCTCGGGGGAGTTCCACCAGAACGGCATAGAAGAAGAGTTGATGGAGATCTGCAGGAGGAACCATCTGTTCGGGCTGAACTACTTTGTTAAAAAAATAATGCAGCTCAACGATATCATCAACATAAGGCACTGTGTATTCATCATGGGGGAAGCGGGGTGCGGAAAGACGACCCTGTTTAATATGCTAATGGAGTACCAAAAGCAACAGAAGCTAAAAACGGTGAGCATCAGAATCAACCCTAAATCTATCAGCATCGATGACTTGTACGGAAGCGTGCATATAAAGACGAGGGAATGGAAAGATGGGGTGTTCTCCAAATATATGAGAAGCTACTCGAAGAGAGAAGACTGCGACAAGGCGTACATCATCTTTGATGGGAACTTGGACTCCCACTGGATAGAAAATATGAATTCCGTGATGGACGACAACAAAGTGTTAACCCTATCTTCAAATGAAAGAATCCTTTTGAAAAATCACATGAACTTAGTGTTTGAGTTTAGCGATTTAATGTTTGCAACCCCAGCTACCATATCGAGAGCAGGGTTGGTCTACTTCTCCGTAGATCCGAATGACCTCTGGAAAAATTACTTCCTTTCCTGGATTGACAAGCATGAAAATTTTAATGCTACTGTTAAAAAAGCCCTTGAAAAATTAATGTACAAATATATAGAACCCACCTTTACCTACCTAACCACGGTGAACACGTCCGTTAAAGTGTCTCCTATCTCACACATTCAGTCCTTGGCAGCCTTGCTAGATATCCTCCTAAAGGATAACAACTTCGATAGCATGGAACACTACTTCGTGTACTCAGTCATCTGGTCCTTTGGAAGTTTCCTTGGAGAAAAAGACAATGCAAATTATAAAAAGAGCTTTGACAAATTTTGGAAAAATACTTTTAAAAGCATTAAGGTGAACAGGAAAATTAGTGTGTTTGATTTTTTCATAGAAGGTAATAAATTCAAAGAGTGGGAGGAAAGTGAAATAAAAAATGAAGTCAACCCAACTCACCTTCTCCAGAATGATATATTCATCGAAACGGTGGAGAGTTGTTCTTACAAGTATATAAGTAAAATGTTCCTCAAATCCAGAATGCCCATTTTATTTATTGGAAAAACAGGGGTGGGGAAAACTCTGCTCTGCAAAAAAATTTTAAGTGAAGAAAGGGAAGAATATAAAAGCTTCTATATGATTTTCAACTACTACACGAATGCTAAAAATGTGCAATGCTTAATGCAAAGTTGTTTGGAAAAAAAATCCGGCAAACAATTTAGCCCCCCTTTTCAACAGAAATTAATTTACTTCATCGATGATATTAACATGCCCAAGTGTGATGATTATAACACACAAAGTGCCATTGAATTATTGTGCCAATATATTGATACAAATTCTTGGTTTGATTTGGAAAAATTAAATCTCATCAAAATAGAAAATACAAAATTGATGTCTTGTATGAATTATAATAGGGGAAATTTTACCATAAACCCAAGACTGCTCCGACACTTCTTCATCCTAAATGTTAGCTTCCCCGAAAATAACACTGTTAATAGTATTTTTAGTGTCCTCCTCAAGGGACACTTTAATTCTTTCAAGCAGGATGTAGCTGACTTAGTTCCGTCCATCCTAAAGTCCACAATCTCTCTCTTCTATAACATAGAAAAAACATTCAAAAGGACAGCTACCTATTTCTACTACGAATTTAACCTTCGAGATATTCATAGCATTGTGAAGGGGTTGCTTACTGCACAACCGAGTGCCTTCCAAGATTCTGATAAATTACTCTTCCTTTGGCTACATGAATGTGAAAGGGTATACTCAGACAAGCTAAACAAGGAAGATAAAAAAAAATTCAAAACACTCATTATTGATATAGTGAAAAAAATGTATAACAAATATGAGATAAACAAATTTGTCATGAACAGTAACAAATGTTTGATTTTCTCTAATTTCCACAAAGGAGGTGGTAATACTGCTACAGGTGGGTACAACGACAAGGTATACGACATGTGCAAAAATTTAGACGACCTTACTACCTACTTAACAGAAGAACTAAATGAATATAACAGTTTTTATAACCTAAATATTGTCCTTTTTAATGACGCAATAAAACATATTTGTAAATTAATTCGCATTGTAGATAATTTAAAATCACATGCTTTGCTACTAGGAATTGGTGGATGCGGAAAGACAACCATCTCGAAATTCTCCTCCTATATTTCATCGAAGAGTTTTTTTGAAATGGACTTTTCTGCACAGTGCACAGATAATGATGTTAAGAAATATTTACAAAATATTTTTTATAAATGTGGTATAAAAAATGAAGACATCATACTGTTCCTCAAGGAAAGTAAAATTCATGATAGCTTTTTCATCTACGTTAATGAATACATGTGCTCAAATAATATCATCGACTTGTATACAAAGGAGGAAAAAGATTACATTGTTCAAAATATGAGGAATATTGCCAAAGCGGATGGAATCCAGGAGAATGATAATAGCATATTTGAGTACTTTATGAAAAAGGTTAATGAAAATTTACATTTCATTCTTTGCTTTTCTCCCACGAGTAACAATTTTAGAGACAAGTCAAATAACTTCCAATGCATATTGAACAATACCATGATTGACATTTACGACAATTGGGAATCCGACTCGCTTCTCTGTGTGGGGCAGAACTACGTCAACAACATCTACATAAACTTGCGCACTGGGGACATAGAACTCAGCGAGGACTGCCTGGGGGGGGCACCGCAGAACGAAGCAGGAGTAGTGTGTGTCGCCGCTAATGCACCTTCCACGGAAGAGTACGTCAACCTGAAGGGAATTGTTACGGAGTATCTGAAGGAGTGCTACGAGGACCTGCTCGATATAGCCTCCAACTACTACGCCCATGAGAGGGCACACATCTACATCACCCCCAAACTATACCTGGAGAGCATCAAGACCTACCACATGATGCTCCTAAAAAACATCACCAGCATAAGCAGAAAAATGGATATGCTTAAAAGTGGAATCACCAAAATGAATGAAACAAGTGCAAACGTGGAGAACATCAAGAATTGTCTCAAGGAAAAAAAAAAAATATCGGAAGAAAAAAAAGAAGCATCAGAAAAATATGCCATAGATATTGGAAATGAAAAAATGATTGTTAAGAAAGAGAGCGACTTGGCAGATATAGAAGAACAGAAATGTCTGGAAATTCAAAAAACGGTGCTGAAGCAACAAGAGGAATGTGAAAATGACATAGCCTTGGGAATTCCCCTCATAGAACAAGCCGAAGAGGCGTTAAACACACTGAACAAAAAAAATATACAAGAGTTGAAGACACTAAATAAACCACCTCCAGGAGTAGAAGACATTACAGCAGCAGTTATGCAGCTATTAGCTACAATCGACACCACTATCTCTGTTGATAAATTTGGAAAAATTAAAGATAGGAGTTGGAAGTCTGCTCAAAAAATGATGATCAATCCAGAGAAATTTATCTCCCTACTTAAAGATTACAAAAACAAAATTGATGAAAATTTAGTTCCAGATTGCAACTTCAAGTACGTAGAGAATTTAATTAATCTTCCCCATTTTAACAAAAATGCGATTCAGAAAAAATCTAAAGCTGCTGGAGGGCTAGCTGAATGGGTTCTAAATATTACATCGTTCCACAAAATTATACAAAATATTTTGCCCAAGAGAACACTCCTAGAAAGTACGAAAAGAAGTTTGGAAGAAGCAAACGAGAAATTACAAACGGTAAGAGAAAAGGTACAATCCCTTAAGGCACAGCTGAGCACTCTTATAAGTCAATATGATCACGCTCTCTACGAAAGAGACCTTGTCATTTTGGAAGAAAAAAAACTTAAAACCAAATTAGAACTATCCATTAGATTGATAGATGCTTTAAGCAGTGAACAAATATCATGGTCCAATCAATATGAAGCTTTGAAGAAGAAAAAAAAAACCATCCTCACGGATATACTTTTGTCTTCCACTTTTGTTACCTTTTGCGGGGGATTCACCAAAAAGTACAGAAACAAAATCATGAAAAAATGTGTTGAGACGTTGAACAGGAAGAATCAGGTTCAGAACGAGGTCTTTAGAGAAGTTCTTAAGAAGATGCAAAAGAGCACTGGAAAGGAGAAGCCTGTCAAGTGGACCGGCGCACCAACTACCAAAGAAAACGAGTGCGTGGGTGCTTCCATTGCAAGTGGCGGCGTTGGCAGAAATAATAACGGTTTAGACCAAACGGGGGGAGATGATACGCTACACAGAGGAGACATTTCCCCTTGCAAGGAGGACTCCAAGGAAGACATCCCATACGATATCTTCTCAGTGAGCAGCTTCAATTTGGACCTCCTAATAAACGAAGAAACTCTTTCAAAGTTGAGCAAACAAGGATTAACCCTAAATTCGGTGTGCATAGAAAATAACCTGATTTTGGAAAACAGCGAAAAATTCCCCATCATTATAGATCCTCAAATGGAAAGTCTCAAATGGTTAATCAACAGCCAAAAGGAGAAAAGCGAAAAACTAATAATCACAGACATAAATGATAGTATGCTTTTTAAAAAAATAATTGAGTGTCTTTCATTTGGCTACTCCATAATCATAGAAAATGCTGATGAAAATATCGATAACTCTCTGTACAATATTATTTCCAAAAATATAATAAGGCGAAAAAACAATTACTATATCAACATTAACGAGAAGGAACACGTGTTCCACCCCTCGTTTTATATCATCCTGCATACTCAGTTGTCTAATCCCCATTACCAACCAGAGATCCAATCAGCCTGCTCATTAATAAATTTCACTGTGACTCCTGATGATCTAGAAGAGCATCTCCTCTCCATTACCCTAGAAAATGAATTCAACCATTTGTCCAAGAAGAGAAAAAAATTATCCTTACTTAAGTATGATTACATGTGTCAATTGTCTTTTCTTCAATCTTCCATTTTACAAAAGCTAACAAATGCCAAGGGAGATATACTGGAAGATGTCTCTCTCATTGAAAACTTAGAAACTACCAAACTGCTTAGTGAAAATATTACCAAAAAAACAGAAATTGTGAAAAGCACAGAAGTACACATCAACACCATCATCAACTTGTATAGACCCTTGTCCAGACGGGGGGTCATGTACTTTTTCATCCTTCAGAAGCTCAAAAACATTCATTCCTTTTACTTTTACTCGTTGGAAATTTTTTTGAAGATCTTTATCAAGTGCCTCAATGACTGTGCTGAGTTCAGGCCTCCCAACAGCGGCCCCCAACAACCAAGGGGCAAGAGCCGCAGCAACAACCGCAGCAGAAACCACCGCAAGGGGGAACAAGTGCCTCCGAAGGGGGAAATACCCACCAAAATGGAAATAAACGTGAACGAGGAAGGGCCAACTAAAACGGAAGTTATCGCCAATACAAACGAACATGAGGGTTCCGTCATCCCAACTGCAACTGAGCAAGAAGAAGGTGTCACCACCAACCCAGTTGAGCCAAGAGAAGAGGAAACAGCCGAAAAAATAGAAGCACCAGAACAGCCACAACAGCCAGAAGCAGCGGTAGAACCAGAAGCGGGAACCGACCAAACAGCAGCCGAAGTTTCCCCCAAAACAACTGAAAAATTGGAGGAGCTAGAAGTAGCGGTCGAGACGGCCGAACCAGAAGCGGCCGCCAATACGGATGAGCCAGGAGAAGAGGAGACAGGAGAAAAAACAGAAGAACCCGAAGTGGCAGCCGAACCAACCGAACCGGACGCGGTTGCCAATGCAGAAGAACCAGAACCTTCCGATACTCAGACCGCACTTGAACAGGACGCCAGTCCAATTGAACCCGAATCGGAAGCTGTCATCGAGTCAGCAGAACCCAAAGCGGACGTCAATGCAGCAGATTCAGCAGAATCAGAAGAACCAGAAGCTGCCGCTGCTACTGCCGCTGCCACCGTCGCTGAAGTGGTCGTTGAAGCAAAATCTGCCGGTTCCGCTCAAGTGGAGGCCCCGACCAGCGCGCAGAAGGGAGAAGAGGGCCCCGAGAAAGAAGACCTGGATACCACAACCCTAGAGAGTAACGACTCGGACGGCATCGACTTCGAAAGTGACGACCTGGACGGAGAAGATGCACAAAGTGAAGAAACAAAGATAGACAAAAATGAAGTACAGAAAAGAGTTAACGTACTTATCAATCTTCTAATAGAAAAAATGTGGATGTACATTGATAAGGGGCTCCTAGAAAGAGACAAACTTATTGTGAAGTGTCTCATCATGTTAAATTTGGAAAAGCTAAACGGCAAAATTACCCAAGAGGAAGAGGATATGTTTATTAATCCCAAGTGTACTCTAAAGCCAAATCAAAGAGAAAATGAAAGAGGAGAAAAAAAATTAATTAATAAATCTTTCATGAGTGAAGATTTATATCAAGACTGTAGAAATTTGGAAAATTTGAAAGACTTTGATAATCTTACAGAAAGCTTAGAAAGCGAGAGTATGTCATGGAAGCAGTGGTTCTTAAGTGATAAGGTAGAGAATGAAGAGCTTCCAAGAAAGTATAACAATTTGAAGGACTTCTCCAAGCTGCTACTAATAAGGGTGTTGCGAAAGGATAGGTTCCCTGTGGCGCTTAAAAATTACATACAGACTAATATCAAAATGACGAATGATGAAAAAAACACCTACGCGCTGGACAAAATTCTGGCGGAGTACATTGATAACAAGACCCCAGTGTTGTTTCTCTTGACACCGGGAAATGACCCCTCCAAGGATATCGAGGAGTACGTGGCCAAGCTGAAGAGGACCAAAGGGAAAGGTGTGAAGAGTGACAAAAAAAGTGATCATATGAATGGGGACCAGTACAGCGAAGAAAGCATTTCCTATGTTAACATCTCCATGGGACAAGGGCAAGAGAGCATTGCGCTCAAGTACCTCAAGGAAATATCCAAGTCAGGGGGATTCATATTCCTACAGAACATCCACCTCATGACTAAGTGGCTAAAAGAATTTGAAGAAATCCTTGACAAAATATTAACCGATGCGCACCCGAATTTCCGTCTATTCCTATCATCAGCTATCCCTTCTGAAAAAGACACCAAACTTTTACCCGAAAAACTATTAAAAAAGTGCTTCAGAATTAACAATGAAAAGTCTTTCAGCCTCAAGGATAATATCAAGTGTTCCTTGGAGAAATTTCAAAATAAGGAGTACGACGATAAGCTAAAAAATGTCATTTTTGGTCTCTCCTATTATCATAGCTTGCTCTTGGGAAGATTTTTATACGGAAAAATTGGATTCAGTCAATCATATTCCTTCAACTATAATGATCTGGAAATTTCTTTTAATATTATTAAGAGGTACTTGGAGAGTTACAACAGCTTCCCTCTTGCAGACGTTCTGTTCCTCATAGGGGAAATAATTTACGGGGGGCACATCACGGACGTATGGGACAGACGCATAAATAAGACGTACGCCAAAAATGTGCTCAAGGAGATATACAAAAATGTGGTTGCCATTAATGGCCGATCGGTTAGTGGAGAAGACGAAAATGACGCAGATGAAGAGGATTCCCGTCGTGTGGGGGAGAGCGACGAAAGTGGGCGTGGTGCTACACACGGAAAGAAGCCTGAGGCCCGCCGCGGAAATTATCAGGAGGATGAAATGGACGAGCAGGCAGTACTCAAGGATACCAGAACGAACATCCTCTTCGAATTGTTCAAATTTCCTGACTGCACCAAATACAATATTGCCCAGTTAAAAAAATATGTTGATGAAAAATTGAACAAAGAACAGATATGCTTGCTAGGTCTCCATGTGAACGCAGAAATTGAATACATGAAAAATGAGTGCTCCAGAATTTTGCAAAACTTGCAAGAGATTAGTAGTCGGGAAATTTCCTCCTCACAGGATTCTTACCAAAAGGGGGAAAAAACGGCCTCCACGGGAAACGCAGATGGAAGTAAAGAAGGAAGTCGCACCAGTGGTGATAGCAAAGATGGTGGAAAGAGTCCTAAGGAGTCGGACCAAAGAGACAGACAAACGGAGAGTGGAAAAAATGAAACCACAAAAATTATATACGATATTATTAACCGTCTCTTAAATGAACTCCCAGAAAAAATAGACATAAGCGACCTGAAAATAGAAGACACAGAAACGAACACATTTATGGTCATTGCATTGAAGGAGTCTGAAAAATTCAACACACTCATTGATTGTATATATGATAGCTTGGTCGAGATAAAGCTAGTGCTAGATGGTATACTAAATATGAACAGTAAAATACAGCATAGCATAAAAGCTTTGTTATTACATAACATCCCGGAAGTGTGGAAGAGCTTTTCCTATCCTTCGAAAAAAAAACTTCTTCCATGGTTTGAAGATTTTAAATTGAGAGTAAATTTTTTACAAGAATGGATTTCAAAAATAAGGTGTAATATTTTCTTACCTAATTCTGTATGGCTATCAGCTCTGTTCAATCCCATTTCGTTTCTCACGGCCATTAAACAAAAATTCTCGCATGAGAATAAGGTCCCTATCGATAAGCTAAAGCTCAAGTGGCATGTCACAAATATCACCAAGGTGGAAGATCTGAACAATAAAAATAATTCTTTGTTCATCCATGGCTTGTTTCTCCAGGGCGCCTCCTGGTTCATTAATTCTCAGAATGACTCCTTCACATTTGACATGGATAATTTGAGTGATAATGTGTCGTATGGCAATATAGTGGAGTCTGTGCCGAAGAACATTTTTTTCCCCATGCCGCTCGTCTACGTTTACTGTGTAACGAATGAACAGGACGAGCAGCTCGCCCGTGCATCCGACGCCCGCTACTTGGATACGCCCCTCTATATCACCTCGGACCGGGGCGGCACCTTCGTCTGCTCCGTGGATTTGAAGTAAGAGGGAAACACCCGTGAACGAGTGCAAGGGGTAGCACACCCATCTGCGCCTATACCTGAACGCATTTCTGCACACACTTCTGTACGCATTTCTCCCTCCACACACCGCAGCCTAGAAACGGACGACGTCGAGGACAAGTGGATTTTGGCAGGAGTTGCCCTGTTCCTCTCGGACGATTAGCCCACGCTGCGCCCCTGTCGCCCTGTCGCCCCTTCCGCAATAGGTAGAGTGTGTGGGGGGCAGGCAGGTCCTTTTTTCCCCATTTTTATCCCCATGCATGATTGGCTCTATAACCCCGCTGCTGCATTTGCTCTCGCGGAAACGGCTTCAACTAACAAGGGGTTCGAAACGGACTCTGAACCCGCCTCACCGGTGGGCTAAAATGCTCCCTCGGTGCACCTCTTTTTCTCTGCACAAATTAACACATCGTCAATGTCGATAATTCAAGTAGGGTTGTTCAATTAGGGTTAGTGCTGCATGCAAATGGGTCGAGCCCAGAGCACACAAAGGCAACACAAAAGGTAGTGTTCGTACGCGGTGTGCACACACACTACGGCATATAACACACAGCGTACATTACAATATATGGGGTGGAAAAAAGGGGAACGAAAAAAAAAAAAAATAAAATAAAGGATACAAAAAAAAAAAAAAAATAAATAAAATAAACCATACAATAGTATGGTGTACCAAAATGTAGTAAGGTAAAAAAATGGCATCAATGAAACGGCTTTTGTGGGGTTACAAAAGCGGCACGCATGAGCACAGTTTTTCCGTGGTTTCCCCCACAGTTTTGTGATGCGATTCACTGCGCACATTTTTACCATGAGAGCAGTTTTGAATGGTTATAAATATACACGGGGGTCCGCAAACGGTCATTCAAGACGGAAAAAAGAAAAAGGTGTCAGCGCAGGTATCCTTCCACTGGATATGCAGAAGAAGCCCACAATGCGCTGTCCACACGTTGCCAAGTAAGTGACAACACAATGCCCTCCCTATGCTTCCTCTCCACCTAGGAGGCATCACTTTTTTTCCTCTTCACAATCGTGTTTTGATAAAAGTTTTTAATTTGCTCCCGGGTTTTTCCATAAGGATTCAAAGCTAATAGGAGGGTATCCCAATTCTTCCCTTCCTTGTCATATACGTGGAAGTAGATTTCCTTTTCCCTGTCGGTCCATTTTGTGGCGGTTTTCCTAAATGCTTGCTTGGAGGGGTCATCATAACTTCCTCCTCCCTCGTAACTTTCCATGCGTTGCAAGGAATTCATGGAGCACTGGTTTAAGGACTTGCTGCTCTGGATGAAGCTCCTTGTGTGCTCCATGTTGGATATCTCTGGCGGGTTTTCCCTGATAAGGAGCTGGGGGAAGACGCCCTCCACATGCTGCTTCCCGCATGGAAGCTCCCCAGCCAGTTCTGCTGCCATCTCCTCCTCCTCGTCGTTCTCTCCACCCGTGTTAGGGGTAATTTTCCTTTTGTTGCAACTCGCAACGGAAGAATTTTCCCCATTACATTTCATATCATCCCAACGGTCCTCTCCTTGCAACGGGATTTCACTACTTCTGTTGTTAAAACGCATGAAGTTAAAATGAGCACCGGAACATAACCCATCTTGCTTCATATCGTCCCTGTCTGGTAGTAGATGACTCCTCCCGATTAGCAGTCCTTCAGATTCATTACTACCATGCACACATGAATTTTGTGTGTCCAAAGATTGGCTGTTAATTAGGACGTCACATGATTGATGTTCTTGGCTTGGGGGCACCTGACATAGTAGCCCTTCACTCTTACTTAAATAATCACCAGCTTGCACAATCGCTTCCGTTCTCAACTGTGATTCCATCATGGAGTTAGTTCTATTATCACTCAACACCTCTTCGCTCATCTGGGCGTTGGACGTTTTTTTCCTTTTGAGCGTTTTTTCACACTCGGGCTTCATCGTGAAATGCGTCTTCAGATCTGCGGCCCTTGAACCTGAACCTCCTACTGCTCCTCCCGCTACACCGTTCCAATTCAACACATTCGAGAGTCTCCGTTTCGTCGTGGCGTTCACCAAGATGTGGTGCTTCGCCGCCGCCTTGCCCTTTTTACCGCTCTCATTTTCCCCATCTCTATTCCTCCCATGAATTGTGTGACCCCTTGATCCTTCTTCCACTGCGAAGGGGCCCACTCCCGCAATTTTACTCACTGCCCCTTCATCCCATTGGCCTATATCCCCCACAAGGGTGTTGTCTTTGCTTCTCCCTCCATTGGATTTCCCTGCAGGGATAATGATCTCCTTCCTCCTGACGTTCCTCTGCTTACTCTCCTTCTGAAGGCACATACCCTCGTTACTCTGAATGCTGTTCTTTCTGGAGGCTTTTTTCATCTTACATTCCAAAGTCACGGGCGCAGCCGAATACCTCCCAATTTCCATGGGCTCCAGCTGCACACCATTCTTATTCCTAACTCCTTCGACATTTTTTGTGTCCTTCCAATTTATATTTTTTAAAAACTCGAAGCATTTGTATAGGCTTTCTTCCGAGGTTTCAATTTTAACATTATTTTCGAATGGGTTGTTCATGCTTTGGTTCGAGTCTGGGTAGGAGATCCTTCTCCTGACTGCGTCGTCGTCGTTGCTTGGTTGACGGTACAGCCCTAGTACACTGCCACTCCTACTGTCTACGTTATGTATATCATCGTGGGCTTTCAGTTGGCTTAACTGAACAATGGATTCCACTTCTTCGTCATCCTCTTCCTGTTCTTCTCCATCATCATCATCGTCGTCGTCTTCGTCGTCATCTTCTCCCTCCGCCCGTTTGCTACTTCCAGCGCTGCTTCTTCTTCGGAGGTTTCCTACTTGGCCGTTTTCTCCATATGGGTTGTAATCATCCCTGTTAGAATTAATGTTACAATTATATGCAATAGTCCTTTTATCTTTTCTTTCTTTTACTGGCACCCAGATTTCTGGGCCCCTTGTGGGTTGTTCGTTTTTTAATTTTTTTTCATCACTCTCCCTCGGGTAGTACGTTTTCTTTTCACTGTTCAGGTTGAGCAGTTTTTCACACATTTCATCGTTATTCCTTTTTGTTTTTTTTAGCTTACCCATTTCATTTGCGTGCAAAATTTGCCAATGAGGAGCCTTTTCTTCTTTCACGGTGTGGGCGAGCGCACCCGTGGCGGATGCATTAAAAAAGCCTTTTTGAGGGGGGTCATTATTACCCATATTGGAGAACCCCTGGTCATCAACGGCTTTCTCACTCACCTCGTTACTGTTGCTGGGGTGTGGCGTCGTGATCATACTACTGCACGTGGCGGTGCTTGGCTGCTGATTATCCATGAGGGCTACTTTGTCGAGCGTCAACTGAGTCTGGTTTTGCAACAGGAAAGGCATATTGTCAAATTTGTTTATTCTCTCCCCGTTCTCCTTCTCCATCATCATCATTTTCTTCTTCTTCTTGTCTCCCCTGTCGCCATTCTCGCTCCTTTCATTCTTCCTCTTCTTTCTATCTCCGTCCATATTATCATTATACACAATTTCGATGATATCTGAATTGACTCCACTGTAAATTAAGTTTTCCTCATTCTTCACTAGGAAGCATAATTTCTTGTTTGTGCTAAGAATGAATTTATAATTCTTTGGCACGACATACCCGTCGGACATATTTTCAAGCACAATGGTTTTGGTCTTTTGAGTCACATCCCCGGCTGTGTCTCCATCGATATTCTGTGCAGTGGTGACACGTCTACTCAGAGGGGGGGAGGACGTATTGGTTATGCGCACACGATTTCCACCACCACCTCCTTCTTCTTCCTCTTCTTGTTCTTCTTCCCTTGCTGCTGATACTCCTCCCTCTCCAGTACTGTTCTGCACATTGGTAAACGTTTTTGTGAAATAGTTTTGAAAGAACTGACGCAGGTTGATAAAGTTGTGGTGAAAAAAATTTGACTGTTCAAATTCACTAGGGTTATAATTCTTCTCCAGCTTTTCCATCAACTGGGTGACAATTTCCTCCTTGGAGTTCTTCTTCGTCATGTCATTACCCACAGGTCGCTGTTTTTTATTTCTCTTCACTCTGCTCAACGATATGGTCAGGAGAAAATTTTTGAAGTTGAAAAAGTTTTTCGTCATATAGTAAAAATCTACACACTGCTTTGTGCTTTTGAACTCCAAGTACTGACTGATTTTTTCGAAATTTTTTGGGTAAAGGAAGTACTTTTCCAGATACGTTTTGATCTCCTGTTTGTCCCAGATGAAGTTTTTCTCGTTTTGCGCGTCTTTGCCGGTGAAGGGGTTGTTTCTCCTGGCGTCTTTACCGGTGACGGGGCTACGCGGCACGATGGACCGGTTGTTCTCATTGCAGTAGAGCACATTCCTTTCCAGGGAAAAGAGCGGCATTTTGGAGCCCTGCATGCAGTAGAAGTAGGGGAAGGCCTCCACCAACTGAGCGTTTCTCCTCTTCTTTGCATAGTTAAGGGAGATACAATTTTTACGCCATGTAATACAAGGACCCGTCAAATTGGCGTATTTTATATTCATATAATCTTTCTTTTTGTCCTTTCCCCTTTTCTCCATCATGTTACCATTCTTCTCATCCCCACCGTACCCATCGTCATCGTCATTGTCGCCGTCATCCTCCCCCTCTTCCTCATCAACAAAGGAACGTTTCAACCGAAGTGAGCTGTACGCTAAATTTTTATTATTGTGCTTAAATCCATATGGTAGTGGTACGAACATGTTGGGGTGATCATATGCACGTACAGGTAAAATTCCCCAAGCAAAAATATTTTTCCTTTCTCTCTCTTTCTCACTGATTTCAATGTCTTCCTTCCACATTTTGAATATGTGTTTATATAAAGCACTATGTTCCTTCATCATTTTTTCTAATTGTCTTTTTCTTTGTGCATAATACAAAAGGGTGGGTTGAATATGTCTTGGCATGTCTTGGCTTCCCTCTTCGAGATTAAACTCTTTGCTGTGCATATGCGTCATGTAATATTTCACCGTCACTTCGTCGTTGCTGCTACTGTAGCTGAGCATATCGTTGTGGATCGTCAAGTAGTATGTCTCCATGTCATCACCCATAGTTGTTCCTGCTTCTTTCAATCCGTTCGGAATGAATTCTTCGTTCACAAGGAAGTTTTGCTCTTGGTACTGCTTCTCACTTTCACCTTTCACTTTTCCCTTACCCTTAGTTTTGTTTTTTCTCACTTGGGAGGTCCCTTTGGGCACATTTTTCATCTTCTTCCCCAGGTACAATGATGATACATTTTTCTTTTGCTCTGCATGGTCCCCCCAGTAGCCCTTGGCCTTATAACTTAGTGAGGCCCCTTTCATACCTGCTGCCTTCACTCCTTTGCTACACTCCTCTTCATTTTCTCCCAATCCTTGGTGCATCCAGTCTGCGTACCTTTCCTCCTTCAACAGGTAAGATTTACTTTTATTTTTATTTTTTTTTTTTTTTTTCCCTTTGCTCGAGTAGAGCGAATACTTGCTCACGTACTTCAACAACAACACTGGAGAAAAAATTACATTCCTCCCGCAGGAGTTCCTTTCCCATTTATTTACAAACTTTCCTAAGTGTATAATAATGTCCTCCACGTCATAACCCGTCTGATCATACTCGACATTGTCTACGTAAAAATAATAGTACTTGTTCTTCTCGCTCAAGTTTCGTCTCGTCAGGGCGCTCAAAAAGGTGTTATTAAAAAGGTGGTTGTCGTCAAAGGCCCTGACTGCGCAGGCCCCGCTTCCGTTATCATCACTTCCCTCGCTGATTTCCGATTTTTTATGTTTTCCACTTTTTTTCCTTTTCTGTTTTTTTTTCTTTAAGAAGAGGCTCCTATATCTCCGCATGAGTCCCCTATCATGCTCTAGTCTCGCACTGCGCTCCACTGCGGGCGGAGGGGACAGCCCTCCGTACGGTCTATCCCCAGGGGGCGACTCCCCTGTGAACGGTTCCCCCGTCGGTTCCTCTCCCTCCTGGGGAAAGGCACAATCATCGGGCAACCCATCCTCTGAGACAAAATTCAAAATTAATTTAATTTTCTTCCCCAAATTTAGCAAATAAGGGGGAATGTACTCCCTCTTAAGGTAGAGACAAATATAGTTGTCCTCCACTTGGTTGTTCTGATGTGCGTTTCTCATTTCATGCATGTTCATCGCGGGGCCACTGCTCCTGTGGCCAATTCCCGCTGCATGATGAATGCTCATGAAATCGTGTTGCTGCGCTGGTATATAATCATAAAATCTGTTCGATTTTTTATTTACCATAAAATCGTTTGTCACTGATTTGTCCCTTCTCTCCTCAATCAGTTCGCAGGAAAAAACTTTACTTATGCTCACTAGAAAGGTTAACACATTAACGGTCATAATGCTGGTGTTGTTTTTCGATATCTCCTCATTTATCTCATTCTTCATGTTGATCAAGCAGAAATTTCTGCTTCTTTGGTCATTTATTGGGTTGGATGAACTGAATAGGGGGTATTGTGTGTGGTCTGGGTGTGCTTTTCTCTGGTGGTTAGAGCTCGTCAGGGTGCCTCTTCCACGCGTACCTTTTTTTCTCAGTGCGCCACTGGTTTGGTCCCTTTCGTCTTCGTGCCCGATCCACGCACATGGGTAGCTGCCCCAGGTGGTCTTTGTTTCAAGCTCGCTGTCCTCCAGCTTGGGCCCCTGCGGCCCCCTGGCCATCTTCCGCCTCTTCCTCCTGCAGCTGAGGAAATTTAAGAGCAGCTTCTTCTTCCGCATCCTCCTCATCTCTTGTTTGTAAATCTCATTGTTATCATTTTCCCCCAAAAGCTTGCCACATAGGTGGGTGCCTTTATAGTATTTGTTTCGCAGCAAGGCTTGATACAGATCCACAACAACCCAATTTTTAATTTGCAGATTCTCATTTAAGAATTCATTGTGCTGGCACTTATTTTTCATGCAAAGACAATTGTCTCTGAAAATTTGGAGAGGAATGAACGAATTTGTAAAGTGATGAGATGAATTTGCGTGAGCACTTTTTCTTTTTTTCTTCTTCCTTTTATCATGTCTTATAATTCTGCTCACATCTTCATGTTCCACTATCATCCCCTCCTCATAATCGTTGTGTCCATGCTGTTTATACTGCTGATGGTGGTGTTGGTGTTCTTCGTCGTCCTCCTCCTCTTCTTCAACTTCTTCTTCTCCTGCTCCGTCTGCTTCTGCTTCTCCTTCTTCTTCCTCTTCGTCTTCTTCCCGTTGCAGCTGCAGTTCATCCTTGTAAATTTTTAAACTGTTTTTATTTCTGGTAAAATCTGCTTTGATTAAATCCTTTTCCATTTTTAATATTGCTATGTCATCATTGTTTTCCTCACTGACGCGTTTGATTTGTCTGGTTAATTCCTTCGTCATTTTGTGCAGCGCAAGCGCATTACTCTCTTCAATTTTTAGGTTGTTTAAATTGGACAGCAGTCTCCCCAAATGTTCGTGCTGCTCCTCTAACTTGTGCAATCCCTGTTTCATTTTCCTTTTCAGTTTTTTCAAAATCATATATTTTACCTGCTTCTGTTTGTACGTCTTTTTTTTCGAGGCGCGCGCGCCGCCATTGTCCTTGCTGTTTTGGCTTTCCTTCATGTTTACTCACATTATGTCTGGCAAGTGCCCAAGAAAATTATTTCCTAAATGGTTTGCGCTTTGCCGTTACTCTGTTCGCTACACCCATGCACGCATACATATATATATATATGTAACTGTGCGTGGTGTAGATATTATCCCTGCGCCGCCTGAAAGGGTAACTTCCACACCTTTAATCAGTTGATTGTAGAAAACCTTCTCACGACATGCAGGCGCCCCAGTCGTGGTGACAAGTATAAGCACGCATGAGAACCCCCAATATAAAATGAAGCGAAAAAAAAAAAAAAAAGGGGCCAATCACGCATGCGCAAGCAAAAGCATAGGCGCAAGGTACAGGAAATATTTACAGTTCCTACAACATTAATGTACGCGGGGGTGGATTCTCACGTGGCGCGTCATCCTGCTATATGGGGGAGGGGGGAGGCGGCCGAATTCAGGCGGCTAGGTGACGACAAAGAAGGGAAAGAGTAATGAAGGGAAAGGATGGAAAGGAACGAATGCAAAGTAACGAAATGAACAAATGAACTAAAAATAAAAAACTCGAAATTTGAAATGTAACGTTTTTTAAAAAAATAAAAAAAAGCATCAGCCAAAAATATTATGTATGCGTTGCCGCATGACAATTATTAATGGTCTATGGAACATCCAAAAAATTTTCATATTCGCCAATATTTTTTCATCGGGGCTAGGCCACATAAAAGTAAAATAAATATATTCATGCTTTGAGTTAGCGATGCATATACAACGTCATCTGCTTATCTGATAAAATGAAATGAAAGAAAAGAATGTTGTTATGGCAGAAAAAGCGAAAAGGAATTTGTTTTCCTTCATCCTCTACTTCTTTGTTTTTCTTCTTTTTCTTCATTTTTCCTTTTGCCCTGTACCACCCAAAATAAGAAGAAAAATGCGAGCAGTTCCCCTGTTTGCGAATGCTTTAAAGCAAAAATAAAATTGTGACATGCCAATTTTGATGCCATTCATTTTGTGGCTTGACGGGATTTTCCTCTTCCCTTTTTTTTCTTCTTGTTTTTTTTTTTTTTTTCATTACGTTTCTTGTTCCCTCCCCCCATTTTACTGGCTACTGTTTTAAATAAGAATATATAAAAGGACGGGAAAAGAAAAATATTCCCCTGGGGGTTACCTGCGCGTCGCTCGTCATTAAACATAAATTTTTCAGTTCGTCCAATGGAGTGTAGTAATCCTCGTGCAGGTTGTCGCCATTCGGCTTGCGCTCATCCAATTGCGTCAAAATTGGCAATCCCTTGTTTTTTTTTACGCCCCTGAATAGCAGTCTAAATAATAAGTAAACAGTCCCACATTAATCCTCCGGGCGTGTTTTCTTACGGATATATATATTTTTTGTCCTATCCTTTATCACATAAAAAATAATTCCCGTTTGTCGGCCTCTAATATACATGCAATGAATGATCATTTTGCTTAGCACAGCGGTGAGTATGGAAAACTGGGGGGAAAAAAGGAAAAACTGACAAAATGGCGAAATGAAGTCTGGTCGTTTTGTGGACATTCGCATGAAAGTACATAAATGTATACTGTCTTTGAGGGGCTCTGTTCAGTGATCCTGCTGTGTTGTCACTTGGTTCGTCCTATGTCCTCCCATTCGCATGCTTGTAGACAATTTTTGATTTAAAAAATTGATTGTCTTCTATCCCAGTAGACATCCCTTAACGCGTGCAGCGCAGCTGTTCCATTTGTCCTTTTGCAGAACATCCAAATTAAAGCGGCGATAATAAAATGTGGTGCCATAAATTGTGAGGACTCCCAACGTTAGTGGAATTCTGCAGCATATAAAATAGGCACATTTTGTCCCCTTTTCCCTGTTTTCGTTTTGCTAGCCATTTTCGCAACTGCAAGCTATTTGAAAAAAAAAAAAATAAATAAATAAAATAAAAAATTCTGACTTGTTCATACAAAAATGTACACTCTGCGTGCTGCATATTATGGTGGATGCCAAAGCGGTGGGGAAGAAGTTCCCCATTCTTCTGGGCACAGAAGCGCATACACACTGAATGCAGGCACTGATGGTAGGGGGTAGCACGTATGTAGTTATATAAACGACGAATGGGACGTTTTATTTGATCATGTGTGTGTCCCCCCAAGTCAATCCCACCTCTTTGCCCATTACGTTGGTAATTTTTTTTTATAAATCTTACCGTTTTGCGAAATTTTATGAGGGAAATAAGACTCCGGAGAAATTCATGTCCGCGTCGCCTCGTCACTAGGAAGTGCGTAAGTATATTAATATGGGCACGTGTGCACGGTTCATATTATATACGCGGGGTGCCTACACAAGAGTGATTGCACATCTGCACAACTCGGCCTCCACAAAGGTATAACCCGTTTCCGTGATCCATTCTGGCGAAACAAATTCGTCATGTTCTAACTTTTAGTCGATAATGTAGCGCAAAGAATGCATTATTCCTAACGGATAGAATAAAATCGGATCAATCACAACGCCCCTCACTTCTTTACATCCTTGTTAGAAAAAATGGTAAGCGAGCAGATCCACCGTACTGTGCGGATTGAGAAGGGAGGGAAATTACATAATAGTAGACTGTTTGACGCCGGCCAGGGTTCCCCTCCTGAGTGTATTTCTTTCTTTACAATTTTCACCTCTGCGTGTTTGTCGCCCCTCTACGTGCACATAGAGGAAGTAACACAATAACGACGCTTTTTTTTTTTTTTTTTTTTTTTTTTTTCTTGTGCTACTATCTCATGCACTTTCCATTTTGATGCATGTTTCAACTCGATCTATTGTCGGCTGTTGTGCGTGAAAACAAAAAAAAAAAATTGATGGTCGATTGGGCCATGGGAAATAAGTACACGCAATTTGGATGGCACACGGGAGGTACGACATGAATGTGTATGTGGAACGTAGAAACATATATGATGTACTGCTTTACACCCTACAGGGAAGTACGCGTACCGGTGGGGCTTCCACAAGTAGCAGTGTTACCATTTATTTATCGCCCATTCGCGGGGCAGGAGAACATGGCTAACGACAGAAACACAGGAAAGAACATCTCTACATTTAGCATATCAGGTGTGTGGAGGGTAAGATGGGAATGATACAGGAAGGTTAAAAACAAAGCTCCATTTTTAAGTCATTTCGTCGCGATTCACGCGTTTTCTTTTTTCTGCACCCTTTTTTTCCGCGCTGTTCGGAAACTTCATTGTGCGGTTTGTTGTACCCATTTTGGTTCGGTGCCTTGTACTTTTTTTTTTTTTTTTTTTTTCACTTTCTACCAGATTGTGCCCATTTCACGACAGTTTGTACGCATTTTTGTGCACATTTGGTGCCCGTTCTTTTCACCCCCACATAGGCTACGTAACCATTTTTGCTAAACAGAAAACGGTACACGTAAATGCTTGAGGGGAACAGAAATAATTTATAGGGCGCATTTGAACGCTGTTGTTGATCCTGTATCCATAAACCATTTAAGTGCACGCGATGCATAGCGAGATTCTGAATACATTCGCATAAGCGCAACGTTATGTATGTATGTGCCTATGCCCCTGTACATATATATAAAAGCTTGTACCCATTTATGTGCATGTACGCAAGCGAACTGCTCCTTACAGTTGTGAAATTGCCAACTCTGATATCCCCCGCAGAAGGCATTTCATCAAATACAAACTGCTAAATAAACGAGGCACTCGTTCCTTCATAATAGGAGGTACTCGTATATAATACGTACTTAAAAAAGTACATACCTTTGGGAGAAGAAAAAAAAAAAAAAAAAAAGAGGATGATCGTGAATGCAGTTTGGTTAACGTACAATTATATTCTTCTGTTTTGTTTTCACCCTGCACCCCCGTTCGTTACATAATTGCTGCGTTGGTTGTATATTTCCTCCCGCTCTGTGGCGAGAAGCATGGGACAAGCGCTTTTTTTTTATGTGTAAATTTGTTGCTTATGGAAGCGCACCTAGTAGCGTATCTTATGTGCAAAACAACAGGGCAAGAATGAACACTCGCCCAACGTACGTATGAGCAAGCCTACATCGCACGCTTTTACACGTTCACAGTTGCTCTCGTCACACAGAAATGTGGAAGCGCGAGGGACACATAAATGTAACGGTTGTGCAAAGCTGACTTGGCCCCATCACATCGATAACGCCCTCATAGCCCAATTAGCATCCACCACATCGGTGCGCTGCACCCTACATGTGCGTGTACTCATGCGTGACCCCACACGAATGCCCCCCTTTTTTGTGAGAGGGACCCCCCCGCGGGCAGACCGCTTCACATGTACAAATTCATAAACCCGCCTCTCTTCGCATACCACCCTAAATTCGCAAATGTGAAGAGGAGCATCATTCTAGCGGGGAAGCATTTGTAACATGCATATATTGTGTAGTGCGTAAGCATGCATCCTGTGCTGATGTGGGGAGACATTAAAGGCGGCCCCCCGCGCGTTGCATTTTTTGGTAGACACGACCAAACGAAGGAAGTCATTCCAAAGGGGAAAAAAAAAAAAAAAAAAAGTCATTCATTTTAAGTAGAGATAGCTGCGTAATGTGAATTTTTGTCTCCAAACGGACTGCACGAATTGTGCCTATTGTACGACAAATTTACATATGCAACTCTGCAAATTTGTAACTCTGCATTTATGTATGTTCCCCCTTCATTTCAGCACAACTTACAACAGCTTCATTTTCCCCCCTTCCACTTTATGTCAAATTGGCGATATTCCATTTTTACGCCTTTTTTTTTTTTTTCTTTTAATTTGTCAAAATTCACTTTTGTGTATGATTCTAACGAGAAAGAAGGCGCGTGACCGTAGCGTGTATAAAACGCGAAACATAGCAAGCGAAGCGGAAAACCCGAAATGCAAAGCAAAAATGAATAAAGGCAGACTCGTGTTTTCCGCGCGCGGCTAAAGCGAAAAGGAAAAAAAAGGAGATAACGAGGAAGAAAAGGAGAAGGAAAAGGAAGAAGAAAAGTGCCAAGTGAAGTGCACATATGTACATTTTTTTGAAAAAAAAAAAAAAAAAAAAAAATACATATATATACATATACACATATATACACTATATACATGTACACATATTATATACGCAACTGACGACGCGGCGTAAAAACCCAATTGCGTCGTCCCAACTCGGTTGGCACTCCATTGTTATTTCCACCAACCTTGCATAATTGTGGTTCGTTGCCTTTATCCATGTTAATCATCCCCACCACACACACACCACATTGTCTGTGCAACTTAATACGCTTTTGTTTGAATTCATATTTCAAAAGTAGACACACAAGAACGCGCAGCTCCTGGTGCATTCGCATGTGCATATGTACGCACCCTCACTGGAGAAAAGTAGCTACATAAACTTTACATGGGGAGTGTAGCACAAAAAAGAGAGCGAGACGACCAATCTCTTCCATTTTGTGTGAAATAAATTAACACCACTGTTCCTTTGGCTCTACATATACTTAAATGTATATATTTTTCATGCGCTGGCCTTGCAACAAGCCCTGTAGTATTTATTTTGTAGTTGACCATTTGTAATATTTTCGTTGTTTTTTTTTTTCCCCCCCCCCACACACTGATCTTTTTTCCTCGCAGTTTGCTAGAGCTAGTGTGGGGGGGTCTATACTTATCAGACCGTTGTGTCTACACCTATGTGTGACGTTTGTGAGTGGATAGATCCATGGAAGCAAACCCACGTACACGTATTTGCATATTTTTCCCTGTGTAAGTGATACCATCGAAACGGACTTGCCGTTCAAAGGACTGGCAGCCAACAGGCGGGTGGGACTTACAAGTTTTGTTCGTGCAGTGCGGCGGACTAAAGACGTACCGTACGCCTGGCGTCGTTTGTTCATAATATGCTGCGTGCAGATATACGTCTGTGAAGTTACACGTGCAGTTTGTCAATTCATGCACGTCAGTGTGAGCGAGAGCGTGAGCGAGCGATCGAGCCATCGACTCATCGAGTGAGTATGTGCGCAGGTACGCACTCTCCTCCTACGTGTTGCTCCCCTGTGCACAGCGTATAAAATCCTATTTGGAACGTTCCCACGAACATCCCTCCAAAAAAGGGGACCAACCAGGTGTTGCTCCCACAAGGCACACACATGCATCCGTGCCATTATGTCATGTTGGACTAAGGTTAATTTTTAAACATAAAAGTAGCACACACTCATCGCTTGCAGTTGTTGCGAAGGTTATTTTTTATTTTTTTTTTTTTGTCTGTAATTTTGACGTCAAGAAGACATCATCAAGTGTAAGAGCACTACCTGAGAGAAGCAAAGTGCCCCCACCCCACCCCTGATATATATATATATAAATCCCCGCCTTTATTCTTATTTGGCGTCGTGTATTTTCAACAGCGTTTGCCTTTCGAGGGGCTGTTAAATTTTTTGGCCCAAGCGCGCCCTCTTAAATGGGGCTCCAAACAGAAAAGGACAAGGAGAAAGAAGATCAAAAGAAGAATTTTAAAATATGTAGCAAAAAATTTGAAACGGATGAGTTGGAGGTTTTGAAGAAGGTAAGGAGAGAAAAGGATGAGGGGAGACGCGGTGAGAGGCAAAAAGAGTGTAGCCCACGGTACGTGGCGTGTGATAATGTAATCCTCTCTGTGCCCGTCCTATACCATATACAATATTTTCCCCACGTGTGCTTCAATCTCACCCCACCTCATGTACGCAGATTTTCAAGGAGCTAGGAAGCAGATCGGCATCGAACCAAATAGACAAGGAGACCTTCCTCCAGTTTTTCCCCTTACCAGGATTATGGGGCGAACGACTGTTCCTCAAATTTAATTTCAAAAATACAGGCTACATAGACTTTGAGGAATTTATAATCGGTATTGCAATATGTTGTAGAGGAACCAAAAGTGACAAAATCAGTGTCCTATTTGACATCTTCGATTTGAACTCTGATGGGTACATACAAAAATCTGAGATGGTGGCGATGCTGTCTAACATTCCATACATTGATAAATTGAAAAGTGTTTTCTTTAATAAAAAAAATAGAAGACAGAAGAACTTTTACGATGGTGAGTATAACTCAAATGAGAATATGTATGACCAAGGGGAAGGAGAAAATAATTGTGGTGATGAGGACCAAGTGGAAAATGAGGAGTGTAATGAGGGATACAATAATGGAGAGTACCCTCCGAGTTACCACTATGGGGAGATTTATGGCTATAGCAATGGGGACCAGGAGGCTGATGAAGACGACAACTACAGCAACAGCTACAATGATGACGTGTTTAGCGAGAATGAAGTCGCCGAGGACGACAATGAGGAGGATAACGAGGAAGACAACGAGGACGATTTGAATGATAACGATGAGGCTTACTGCCATGAGGTACACATGAGTGCAACTGGGGTGAGTGTAACTGGAGCGAGTGGCATCGGGGTAAGCGGTGTGATCGGTGTAAGCGGAAGCGGCATAGGCACCACCGATGCAGCTGCGAACAGCGTGACGAATTGCAGCAAATGCCTCCAACAACAGAGGCGGATGAGGAACCGCAAAAAATTGCTCAACATGAGGGAGCTGGCGAAGAAAATCAGGAAGGAGAAGAAACACCAGCTGGAAAAGTGCATGAAGGGAATTAGAAACGAAAGATACCAGGAGAGCAACTCGTTCATTGGGGTTGACAAAAAATGTAAGAAAGAAAAGGAAAAGAACAAGTGGCCAAAGAGGGATTCCATTTTCAAGAGCGAAAGCGACGACAATATAAATTCCTCATCTAGCAGTACGTCCAATGGATTCATCAATGAAGAAATGGATCACTCAAATGTTAGTAAAAGAAAAAGTTTAAGAAGCAAAACAAAAAAAAAAAACTCTACCTACTTAACCAATTTCAAAAATGGAAATAATCATAATGGGTTCATGTCATCAACGAGCGATAGCTGCACGAGTAACGATACCAATTCATTTCTGAGCAGCGAAGAGGTCGACAGCTTTAACTCCAACAAGGAGCAGCGAAATGGAGTTGATAGCTACACCAGTAGTAGCACGGAAGACTCCTTTATCAGCATCTATGGATACCTCATCAAGAATAAGCAGCGTAGGAGGAAGAAAAAGAAGGGCATCCCAGACAGGGGTGTTGTAGACCATGGAGGGGAGAAGTTAGCGGCAGATCGCACAGTGGAACAGGGGACGGAAAGAGCAAAGGATAATGGTCGAGAAAAAAACACCCCACAAAAGAGGAATGAGTTGGATCAGGAGGAAAAAAATGGATGCATACAAGGCGGTGGGGCAGAAGGTGATGGAGCAGTGAGTGCAGATGAAGATGTGCAGTCGGAAGAACAAAGCAAAGTACTGAACGAAGAAACAGAAACAGCAGGAGGAATGATAAAAAAAGGGAAGAAAAGAACATGTCTTAATAACCGAAGTGATATGAACATTTATAAAAAGGAAAAGAAAAAAGAAACCAAAAGGAAATTATTTCACCACGAATATTGTCTCCCTTCGAAAACGGCAAGGAATATTCTCAACGATGAAGAAAATTATGACATGCAGGAAAAAAATGTAGACGTTGAGGAAATAGTAGATCGGATGCTCGAAGAATGTGAATTCTGGGACAATGATAAAATCACACCCATACAATTTAAAAGTGTTATATATAAGTATGACTTTTTTCTTTATGTATTTTTCAGTTGTCTCCATGAAGATATTTGGGGGCTTCAAGGAAATGTTCTTTACGGCAGGGACTACATTAGCAACTTTGTAATAAAATCAGAAAATTTTAAGAGCAAGCAAATTGATGAGAATGAGGAAATAATTACCGAAGAGGTGTATTTTAAGATCAGGCAGCTGTTCATTATCCAGGCCCCTGATTATAACTGCTTGAATGACAATTTGTGTGTGAACTTTCTCAAGGGGGAGCAGGGAAGTGGTCACGAGGGGGGAAGCGGTCATGAAGGGGGAAGCGGTCATGAAGGGGGAAGTGGTCATGTTAATGGAGGAGATAGCCACCACCAAGAGACGAACCCAGAAGGAGCAAGCACAGATGCTGATAAGGACAAAAGCGATATCGGGGCGAACAAAAGAAAAGCCAAGGTCGAGAATGGTAGCAAGTTGGTCAATTTTGCTCTACCCAGCGGGGAAGAAACAACGACGGTTGTAGCTGGAACCGAGGCGGAATGCACCACTGCACAAGGAGGCCATGACGGTCGGGCTGAAGTGTGTGTTGTCGTGACGGGAAATCCCCCTGTGGACGGGCACGAAAAGAGGGAAGCCATTATCCCCCCAAGGGAAAACGCGGTGAATCCGACGAGCGCCATGGACGGGATGGATGCCCCTGTGGAGACCGCCCCTTCGAGGCAGTTAGAAAACCCCACGCACAAGAAGGAAGAAACGAACGTTGGCCAACCGTATGAAGAACAGAAGGAGAGCGATCAGGACGGCGCTCAGGACAACCCGCAGCGCTGCGGAGACGATACACCGGAAAGGGAAGAAAAAATGATGATGGCCCTGGAAAACATAAAGAATAAGGTAGGCTACGAGTGCGACTTCAACCTGCTGACCAACTCCCTGAACGATATTTTTTCAAAAGAAATTGTGGAGTTTATCAAGGCGTCCCAAAGTAGCTTCAACATTAACGAGGTGTGGAAGGAGCGCAATGCCCACTGCAAGGACAAGTACAAGAAGGCCAAGAGGAACATCGAGAAGGCAAGGAATTATTCGAACAGCACGCATAGTGGGAAGAAGAAAAAGAAGTCCCTAGCAAATACCGGGTTAGGCGTCGAGGGGGAGAACGAGGAGGAGGAGCAGCCGCAGCAGCCGCTACAGAATAACGCGATAGAAGGGGTGAACGAGGGGGAAGAAGATCCACAGTCAGTTAGCGAGGCGAGCGAAAAAAGCCCCCACGGCGTGGAGACCCAGAATTTGGAACAGGTGGACCTCGGAGGGTTAGAGGTTAAGGAGGAAGCCGCTGAGGGGGACGCGGTAGACGGGGACGCAGTGGACGGGGAAGCGGTGGAAGTGTCAACCGAGGCGGCTGCGTGCCCCAACAGGCACACCCACGAGGGGAAGAAAAAGAAAAAGCACGTGAAGGACGTGAACCTGTACTCGTGCCCGAACTGCAAGGGACCTTTCCTCATGTGCCCCAACTGCCACGGAAGGTACCCCAGGTTCTGCGTGAACGAAGACAAAATCGCCATGGAGTGTGAATATTGTGAATGCGAGCACTGCTACTTTTACAAGTGCATCTACTGCAACTTTGACTTCCAGAAATGCCTTGACATGATAAAAAAGAATTCTTTGAAGGAAGGAATCCTCTACAAGATAGGGAAACACCTGCACCAGTTCAAGGCAAGGTACTACATCCTATTTGATAATCTTTTATACTATTACGACAAGCAAAAAAATCTTAAACCCCGAGGATTTATGTTTTTGGAGGGATGCTACGTAGAAGTCATCTCCAAAAATGACAACATTAATAAATTCGGGTTCTCTATATGTCACAAAGGAACCAATCATGTGCAGAGGAGAAATTTATATGTGAATACTTATGAAGAGAGAGAGGAGTGGTTGCAGGCTTTATACTCCACAACGAAGCAGAACACCTTGTATAATCTGTACGAATTACATGAGCAGTTAGGACAAGGAAAATTCTCTACCGTTTATAGAGGTATAAATAAACAAACAAATTCCGAGTTTGCAATTAAGGTGATTGATAAAAGATCCGTTTCCATTTATGAGAAGGAATTATTGCGAAGTGAGATTTCCATTTTAAGACTCCTCCGACATCCTAATGTGATTTATTTAAAAGAAATTATTAATACCAAGGAGACCTTGTACATTTCAATGGAGTTAGTAAAGGGAGGAGAGTTATATGATTTTTTATTAACTGAAACGAGACTTAGTGAAATTCACGCAAATAAAATTATTACACAGTTAATTAAAACAGTGGCATATTTGCACAGATGTGGAATAATACATAGGGATATAAAACCAGAGAATATTCTCCTTACAGATAAATCAAGAGATGCACAAATAAAGCTAACCGATTTTGGCTTGTCCACCTTGTGTGCTCCAAACGAATTGTTAAAGGAACCATGTGGGACACTTGCTTATGTAGCTCCGGAAGTCATCACTTTACAGGGGTACAATCACAAAGTAGATGCATGGTCAATAGGTATTATACTTTACCTTCTTCTCAGTGGAAAACTTCCCTTCCCAATTAGTAAAAATACAGAAATGAATATACAAAAAAATTATGTACTCAATTTTAAAGACCACATATGGAAGAGCATCTCCTCATCAGCTAAAGACCTCATCTCCAAGTTGTTAGAACTTAACGTGGAAAAAAGAATATCTGCAAATGAAGCTTTAGAACACATTTGGATAAAAAATCCTACTGCAGTCATTAATGAAAACTCCTTTATTTACAAAAATGAAGAAATTAACATCTTAAATTTGCAAGATGTTAGTGTCAGCACTTTTAATATTCCCAAGTATGCCCCTTTTCACTTGGAAGAAGAAAAGACGGAGGAAGTAGAGAACAAAAATGTTTTTAGTTTCCACAAGGAAGATATTATGTACGAGAAAAATGACTCCGCGGACGAACCGGTTATCCCTCTGCCTTATAGCGGGGCCCCTCTGAAGGATAATGCCACGGACAAAAACCCCATACCCGCCTCCAAAGAAATTTCTTTCACCAAGGATATTTCTTTGACCAAGGAAAATTCTTTTGCCAAAGAGGAAAATGTGCTCAGTGGAGATGCAAATGGTGAAAATCTCCCTGGGGAAATACCAAACGGTGACCAACGCGAAGAACCCACTTCAACTGCAACTGCAACTGCAACTGCAACTCCGTGTGAAGGTCAGCAAAGTGAGGAAAAAACTCACATTGAATACACCACTGAGGAGGGAGCTGGCGACCAACCGGTCGGTTCATCTTCTGCCCCCCCCGCATGACGCGCACGGGAAAGGAAAAAAAAAAAAAAAAAAAAAAAAGACGCCTAAAGGGAGAATACGTGTGGGAATTGGGACGACCACGTAGTTTGACATAACAGCTGGGTCGTTTTGTACCTCCCCACGTGAATAACTTCTGAAAGGTGTGAGGGGACCACATACTGTGCAGTGAAACAAGCGCGAGGGATATATTCTACTATATATCCCGGAGTTCGCTTCCCTTTTTTTCCATTTCCATTTCCATCCCGTTGCAAAAAAGTGTGAAAAACATGTGCACCCGTCGTTCGCTTTCGCACAGTTGGAAAGGTTTCCCTCCCCACCTTTGCATCATGGGCGATTGCGCAAAACAGTTAACGGGTTCAAGAATACCACCCTACGTCTATGTCAGTGGGGTAGATGTGCATAAGGAAAAAGAGGAATAGGCCAAATGGTTTATTCCACATTTTTTTTTTTTTTTTTTTTTTTTTTTTTTTTTTTTTTTCCGCGACCCTTTTTTTGCCCCTTTTTGGGGCCCATTTTTTTTTTTTTTTTTTTTTTTTGGTATGTCTTTTTTCCGCGACCCTTGTTTGGCCCATAGTTGGCGACCATTTTGTGTTATTTTTCATTTTTTTTTTTTTTTTTCCATTTTGAAATAATTCTTGTTACTTTAGTTTTCTCGGGTGGGGGAGAGCGTGCATGAGCCATTTCCCCCACATGGGACTTTTTTTTTTTTTTATCGTCCATTTATATATGCAAGCTGTGTGCTCTTTGCGACAGCGCGCACGCGGATGCAGACGCGGACACGAATGTCGGTGGGGGAAATGATGCGGTCGCTGGTGGGAGTACTAATTCGAGCGCCGCTTCTAAGTACGAAGGCAAACACGCCGATGCGTCGTGCTGGCTCCCTTGCGCACGAGTTAGTCGACCCGTGTGAAACGCGTAGCTCCAAGACCAACCAGTTTAAGATGAGGTTATTCGAAAGGGTTGTCAAATGGTTTTACACTCATCGCGCGAGGAGTCCCCATTTTGCGTGTGGCCACTAGTCTGCTTTTGTTTCTATTTTTACGTACCCATGCCCTGTATGTGTATGTGGGCATTCACTCGGCAAACGCGTAAGAAGCATCGCTTCGTTCTTGTGTTAAATGGGCTCGACTCAACTTACGAGCAGGTGGAGTGAACTTTCCTATTGGGGTTACTTGCGAGCGGAAGCGCTGTAAAGATGTGTCAGGCATGCGTTAAGACAGATGCAAAAGAGAGAAAAAAAAAAAAAAAAAAAAAAAAAGCGTGGCGCGTACACGCGGTGTGTATACTTGCGCATGCTCATGTGGAAGAGAGCGACTTCTCCCTACCTGCAGTTATTCTCCCCAATCGACGCATGAAGGGAAAAAAAAAAAAAAAAAAAAGGAAAACAAAATGCAACTCCATTCGCAGCGCCTTTCCCCTTTTGTAAAAAAATAAAAACGAGAACAGGCAATACTTCAGCCAACTCGAAGAGACTCTCTTTCTGTCCCCCCCTCCAATGTTTAAGAGCACATCTTGTGGTATCTTCTCAACTGCATGGAGGAGGGGATTTAGAGGAACATGGTGCATCCGTGTGTCATAAGAGAAAATTCTTTCTGGCCCCTCCCCCATTTAGTAGCATTAATAAAAATGGGACATTCTAATCCGGAGTAAAAAATTTCCCCCCAAGAAGTGTCGTGGCAGGGTACAGGTGGTGTGTGTTCCTCCATCTTAGCGATTGTTCCACCGACCTTGCAGACTTCTCTCTCCTCAAAACGGTTTCAAATTTTTTCATTTCGAAGAGTCGCCACTGTTCCCTTGTGGGATGTGCGCAGTGTGCCCCCCCCTCCCCCCTTCGGGTTAGCAACCTAATGGGGGGAAAAACCAAAAAAAGGAAAGTAGGTCCAGCGCAATATAAAAGAGGCACACACATAAAATTGGACGTAGGTTTTGTGGAGAGGCACAGGCAGAAGAAGGGGGGGAGTAAACGGAAAAGAGAGACGCGTCAAAAAAAAAGGTAGGAGGATCTTCGCACCGACGCAACCACTTACACGCATCTTTCTCTCCCCCCTTACCGCTTTTTCCCCCGCGAGATGGACGAGAAGAAGCAACTCAGTATCTCTAACCTGTTCACGTCAAACAGGGACGACGGGGGAAGGGGGAACCAAAATAAAGGACGTGCTGGTGGAGATGACAAAAGGGTTATCATAGATCGGGAGAGGAAGCAATCAATCTGGTCGCTGTTCACCCAGGTGGATGCTTCCGCGGGAGATGCAAGGAAAAGGAGCGAAGATGGAGATGATGCTACGGGTGGCGACATCTCACCTGTAGACGTATTTTTCACCCCAAGAAATGCACCACGGGGGAGGCAGGAGAAGGGGAAAGAGGCAGACAAGGGGGCAAATTGCCGCGAAGGAAGCCAAACGGATCGCCCCTCTGCTGCCAGTGGGGCCAGGCCAGGCCTGTTCAGAAACGTACACGAAAATGAGGATATTAAGAAAGAAATAGAAAACATAACTAGCAACTTCAAACGGAAGAACAACATTTTACTTGGAGACAAAACTGATGACGGTGTACTGAATAGCATTATCTCAAGGAAGAGGACAAAAATGAACATCGACGGGAGCCATCTGGCTGCGTGTTTCACTCCCCCAGCGGCAAGCTCCTCCGTGTCCTACAACGCATACAAGGAGTTCTTTGGAAAGGGGACCTCTAACCAAAATTTGACGGATGAAAAAAAAGTGATCGACAAAAAGACGCTCCTAGACGATTTAGCAGAAAATAAAACAAGGTACAAAATAAAGAATGATAATGTGATGAACCGGATGAAGGAGGAGACAAGTGAAGCAAACCAGGGCAGCAATTGGAAAAACGAAGAAGAAGAAAAAAAAAATCACACATGTATTCTGAAGAAGAAAAATGTGTGCGTCCCAGTAAATATAGTAAACCAAAATAATCATCAACATGTTATAAAAATGAGAAAAGCACATCAAATTTTATTTAAAAAGGATAACTTTAATATTTTTCACCACCTAGGAGATGACCTATTCAGGTATATAATATCAAATGTACAGAATAAAAATTTGCTCCTCTTGAATAAAAGGTTTAGAGACCTAATTCGTTGTCTCAGATTGAAACTCATTCATGATGTAACATTAAAAAATACCATTCCTCCTGAAAGTATTATAAAAACAGTATACACATCACAAAATTTGGAAGTGCTTGACCTATCAGGGTGTTCTCATCTCTCCTCTCACCATTTTCATTTATTTTGTAATTCTAATAATATTAAATTTGATAGGACCCTGAAAGTCTTGTCATTACATAGCTGTACCAGAATTACTGATTCAAGTTTGAAGATTCTTCTTCATCGATTTAAGTACCTCTCCATTGTGGACATTCGTAATTGCTACAAAATTAGTCATGAGGGAATATACCCCTTGAAATTCAAAAGTGGTTTGGTTAAATTGTACCTTGGAAATACAACCTCCTCTTCTACAGTGTCCAATTATCACTCTGATAATACTTTACGTGTGCTCTTTACATCTGTGCCTCCTCCATCAGGAGAATCTATTACTCCACGTATTTCTACCCATGGTGCTGAAATGAATGAACAAATTAATATCCCTCTCAAATCACTTTCCTGCTTTGAAATTACCAATGCGAAACAGCTGAGCGACATTTCGTATCTCTGTATCATTTCGAGGAACCTCAAGGTACTTAGCCTCCGAGGGTGCAACATTGATGACACGGTGGCCGTCTTTTTCAAATGCTTCACTAACCTCATCGCTTTAAATGTAGCAGACACCAAGGTGTCCAATGAGGTCATCAAAACGGTCTGTGATCACTCACCAAAAATGAGGATCCTCGATATTTCCAAAACGGTAGAAGTCCACAACGACACCATCTTGACCGTCGCCAGAACTCTCAAGCGCCTCCGGAAGATTAAGGTGTCCTCCTTGCAGTAATGATGGAGCGAGTTACGTGTGTCACTGTGGAGGCGTCACCCTGACCGGAGCACCGCGGCATATACTTCACTTGCCATTTAGCTACATCACAGCGACGTGGCGCATTATTTCATTTTCCATTTAGCTACATCACCGCTGCGCCCCTTCACCGCTCCGCAGGAACGTGGACAACTTCTCCGTTCGGGAATTCCTCAAACACTGCAGGGACCTCGTAGCATTTGATTTCTCCTGCTGCTGGAAAGTTAATAACTCCTTTTGTCACGTGAACGGACTGGACGTCGCGTCAGGTGAGGACTTAAGAGGGGAAAGCACACCCACATGTTTTAAGCGAGCTGCCTCCTCCCCATCAAGGCCATTAAGCGGCATTTAACACATGTCATACCATTACACATGAGGAAGTACACGGAAGTATGTTCCTTTTTGTACACGCGATGGAACTCCACCCTACTTCCTTTTTTTTTTATTTTTATATCTTTGCTTCCACCACTTCTCAATCGCTTCCATCGCGCAGGGCCCAAGTTGACGGATGTGGGCGTCTACCAGTGCTCAGTCGACCGCAGGGCCTGCGAAGGGGCCCTCACGGAAGTCGGCTGCTCCTCCGTGCGCGTGCACATATACAATGTAAGCGGGGCGCGCCACGGACACGTGGAGAGGGAAGTGTAGCGCCGTAAAAATGGAACGACTGTCGGCGGAATCCTCTACGAACATCAGACACATGTTACAAGTTTCCACCTTGCACATTATTTTTTATTTTATTTTTTTTCCCTAAAATGCCTCGCGCAGGAGCTGAAAATATTTGAGACATCCATTTACGCGGACGTGGACGCACTGGATCAGGGCGATTAAGTGGGGGGGGGGGAACTATACAAATGGCCCAGCCCCTTATGCTTTCCCCTTCCCCTGACCGTTTTTCCACACTTTGAGTTTGAAGAGGTCACATTTGTACGTGTAATGCGTTTTTCGGTCATTTTTTTGCCATTTTAAAAAAGCCTCCTTTTAACCCCTTTTTTGAATTCTTTTTTTTTTACCATTTTGAAACCCCCTTTTTAATTCATCCAACTTGGCATTGTTTCCATTTTGAAACGCATAAGTTGGCTGTATAACAAAGTATTATATTAACCCTTTTTTTTTTAAAACGAATTCAGTTGATTAATTTTTTCTAATAACGTCCTGCGTCCATACTCCAGTTCACTTTTCATGGGTGAGAATAATTTGAAGACAGTTTTCGCTTCCCGGCCAAATTTTTTTTTTGTTTTTTTTTTTTTTTTTTTTTTTTTGTTTTTTTTTTCCTCATGAATAAGTGCCTAAACAGTTCATTCCTCGCCAAGTCTGTTTTCCTTTTTCCGGTGGCGCGCGGCAAGAAGCGACAAAAAAAATTGTATGTAACCCCCATTTACGTAATGCATTATATCTTTTTAGTTTGCGTGCATATATTATAATATATACTGCGCTTTTGTGGGCATATTTTTCACCCCCCCGGCCGATTGGCGCAGCATCAGCCCTGTTTTTCTTTTTTCACGTCCATGCGAATGTTCACTGCAATAAAGTAAGTGCTCCTGCGAACATAAAGGAAAAAAAAGCAGAATGGGCCCATTTTAACTTGATTTTTTTTTTTTTTTTTAACTAATGGGAAAAATATATTTCCTTCGCGTATATAATGGCGGCATTGTAGTCCGAACGAGTTGGCGCGAGTGAACACTCCCATTAAGAGTGGGCCAGTTAAAATTATTTTTTGCCCTTTTCTCGTTTGACCCGTTTGCACATAAAAAGTGTGGACCCTCCTGTTTTTCCATGACGCTTTGCGTCGTGCGTTTTTCCTCGAGCGCCAACAAGGTTTTTCCTTCCCGAGGTTTTGCGAGGAGGAACATTTGATGGGAGGAATTTGGTTCCCCTCCGGAGGTAGCAGTTTACACAAAAAAAGAATAAGCGATCAAGCGGGCGGGCGAATGAACAAACGGACAAACAACTAGACAAATGAACTAGCGAGAAGAGACAAACAAACGTGGAAGGGGACCTGTTTTTTTTTTTCCTTCGTCTTTTTTTGTGAAGGGAAGAGAACGGGGCGACATTCATTTTTAGTTCTCGTTTGGGGAGAAAAAAAGCAGCAGCATCACAAGCCAAGTGGAGCGGCATATTTATACGTGGGTAACCATCTTACAGTTGTATGTAGGCTGGTTTGCCAAGGATGGGTGGCGGGGAAGAGAGTAACGGCGTACGGGATGATGGCCAGTTGGCCCACGACTCGGATGATGGAGGAACGAGCGAAACTTCAAATGCGTACGAAGATGTCGTGGAGAATGGAGACGCTCCAAACGGAGATGGCACGCAGGGGAGGCTGAATAGTAGGTTGAATGCTGACCCATCACAGCATTCGCTGCAGCATGCATCGCAGCACCCCCCTGATGACGCGGCTCATCGTCCGCCAACCTCCCTGCGACACCGATTCTTCAAAAGCGCCCCCAGAGCGGACGACGCGGAAAAGTGCCACAAGGGCAAACCCGACGCCCAGACAGCGCCCCAGCGGAAAGAAGAAGACCCCCCAAAAAAAGATGAAGCAGAAAAGGAACAAATCCCATCAGAGCTAGAGTGTGCCATATGCATGAAGCTTCTAATAATACCAGTGACCATCCCGTGTGGACACAACTTCTGTCGGGACTGCCTAGAGAAAGCCAAGGAATACAAAAACACATGCCCCTTGTGTAGATCCAATATGGGAGACAAAAAAAATATTAATATTTTATTGGCCGACCTGATAAAGGAAAAGTACCCCTTGACATATGCCAAGAGAGTTGAAGAAATGGAAATGATAAAAAGAGAAAAAGAAAAAAAAATACTAAAGGAAAGATTTGATGCGATTAAAAATTCTTCTGTCATTCCTCTGTTTAAAGTTCCCCTAATCTTTGGTCCGTACTTCCCAGGAGAGGTGTTCGATCTAAACATATACAATGAAAAATTTATTGACCTAATTGAACTCATATCAAGTGAAGAACGCACATTTGCTATCACATCTAGTAAGGACAAATCAGATAATGGAGATGAAAAAATGTATGGAATACATGTTAAAATTTTACAACAGAATAAAACGAACCAAGTGTTCTCTATAAAATGTGTAGCAAACTTTCGGGTCATTCTTTATAACATCATACACTTTCACCAATATGAGAATTATATAGCTAGCCATTCTCCTCTCTTTGACGAATCCATTTCTTTGAACTTATTTGAGTACATTTTGTTCAGAGGACTAAAGGGAGCTGCGGGGGGTGCTACAGGTCCGGCTTGTTCTCTCGCGACTTCCCCCTCTACCGATCCCGCTTCATCTTCCGCTTCTTCCCCCACTTCTTCCCCCGCTTCGTCCCCCAATGCTAGTCAGAATTGCCACCACGGCTGCAAAGGGTTGAAGTGTAATAATCGAAACTGCACGAAGCAGGCTTCTTCCCCTTGCGATAAGCAGAAGGGGGGAAATACACCCGACGGGGACAGCTGCACGTGCGCCGCGTCGTCCGAGCGGATGAACGGAGAATGTACTACCCACCAAAGCACAGTCGACTTGGGAAAGAAAAAAGTGGAAGACCTTAAGAAATTACTAAACAAAATAGAATTAGAAGATGATATAAATGCTATTTCGTCCTACTATGACCAGTGTAGAAGTATCATGAGCACTTCAACCGACACAAACGATTATAATGTGTACAACGCGGTGAATTATTACTGCTGTGTAATTTTTTCCAGAATTTGTCTTCTGTGCATAAGGTACCAGCTGAACCGTTTTGGCAATGCAGGGATACGTTTGTTTAATACCAAGTTTCGAAACGTGAAGCTTACCTCCTCTGAACCATCCAATGAAGAGCTAGAAAATTTTTCCTACTGTCTTAGTAGCGCCATTATCTCAAGGTCCATTCTCAAGTGGAGGTGGTTCAAGACGACCAACACCACGGAGCGCCTTGAGAGCATAACTCAATATTTTTTAAAAAAGAAAAATAAAAGTATTTTGGCCCTTGACAATTCCAGGTCTCCAATTATTCACCGCCTCTTTATGTTGGACTCCATTTCATCGTCTCTTCTCATTTTGGTTTTCATTTCAATAATCATATTTGTTAAGTACTTCCTCTACTGAGGTAGTTTGGGGGATTACTGCTGAGTGGACCGGTGAGGAAAAATAGGATGTCTGTAAATAACCTGTGTCATCCTATTTTTCGCTTTTTTTTTTCAACACAGCTATTGGGAAAGATATACACGTACCTACCCCTCCATTTGGTGTTTTTCCTGTCCTGTTTTCATTTTTTTTTTCATTTTTTTTCATTTTTTTTCGTACGCTTTGTAAAACATAGCTCACTTTTTATGACTCTCCCCTTATTACTACTGTTTTTAATTTATATATATATTAAGATGATTCTCCTTCATCTCCTCCCTTCTACACCATCCATGTGGTTACAAACTGTTTGATTATAATACACCCTCCCCAAACGGAATTAATTTTTTTTTTTTTTTTTTTCTGCACACCAACTTGGGATTGGTATAGTTTTACTTGCGGGCAGATCCCGTTGTGTCGGCAGGGCTTAGGGGTTCTCTTCCTCGACGTTGCAGAGTGAACAGGAGAAAACTGGTCCATACGAGTTTGCTTTAAAAATGATCCCGGACCCAAACTATCCCTCGTGTGCAGTTCATATGGGGTAGACGTGCTCCCCTTGCGCATTTAAACCTGCTCTCTGACCAGCGAGTCATGCCTCCTTTCAGTCAAGGGCGAGTTCACTCAGGTGACCGCAGAGAGGTGGATGACACACACAGTGCGCTTGTCATGGTGAAGCGCAGCCAGAAATTATGCTCTTTGCAGCTGGGTAGGGGTAAGTCTAACTGAACTAGTAGTCACCGCCATCCCCTTGCAGGTGCGGGAGTTCCCATCCATATTGGCCAAGCAATCGAGTATTGCTGTATTTGATGGAACCCCTGGAAATGTCTTAGCATCAATTTATGGGTTAAAGAAACTAGGGAAAACCCCTCCCCCCCCAATGACGCACTTTCATTTTAACCCTACATTTGATCGAATCTTTTTTTTTATATTTTTTTTTCGTACACTTGTTTGATAACATTTTTACATGCACAGTGAAGGTGGCCTTGTCTCACCTCTCTGCAGTGGTGTCATAACCCAGCGCAGCGTGCTCTTCTTAACCAGGCCACTCTTTTCCCATTGACACTTGGCGCGCAATGTCTTTTATGGGCCATTTGGGTCAAAGCCTGGGTGTCCTCATTAAAGCGTTTAAAGAAAAAAAAAAAAAAAAAATATGCGGTGGTTTTTTCATTCCCATTTTTGATGTAATTATTTTAATTTTTTTTTTTTTTTTTCCGTTCGTGCGATACGTGGGAAAAAACAGGGGCGCACTGCGTAGTGTCACAGTAGCAATATCGTTGCAGGTAACATATGCCCGTCACTGTTACCCATCTTGCCACATCATCCCCTCAGGGTGCATTTTTTTTTAACTGTTCCCCTTGTTTAAATTTTTTTTTCTTTTCCCCCACGCCTGTCGTTTCAAATTCCCCTTCTTTGTGGATTTATTTTTTCACAGCACCGCGGCCCCCCCTTTTTTTACTTCTATATATTGACCCCCTTCAAAAAGAGGCAAAATCTTTTTTATTCAAAAGTAGAATAAACTAGCTCCCTCACGTAGGGAAATTGTAAAAAGCGAATTGGGATCTGGAGATCGCCAAAAGAGACTTTGTTTCATTTCATCACCATCGTCAGCGTCCCCGTGCATCCGTGTCACAACGTTTCACTACCGCCCTTGTATGGCCTAAGCAGCGCCGCCGTTTTGAATCGATTGAGGCCACCTCAATGTGAACATCATGCCAATTGGAGTCCATAGCAGGAACAGGCAAAGCTGCGCAAAACGCACAAGAGAAGAAGCGAACCAGTGCTCTGGGGGCCAACAGGAATATTAATATATGACACGATTGCTCTCAACAAGGACCACCAAAGAGAGAAAAAGAGAACGAAAATAAATCGTAGGGGAAAAAAGGCAAGGAGAGAAAGATAACCCTTGGAGATAGAGTCATAGCCCCGCCTGCCAACATGAATTGAATAAAGAACAGAAAAGTTCTTTATAAGTAGGCATACACTTGGTTTCTGTCAACTTTTCTGCCTCCATTTTTTTTTTTTTTTTTTTCTTTACGATACTACTGTGGAGCAAAAATCTGCTTTCCAATTATTGACCGGTACGCTACCACGAATTGTTGAATCTGTTGTCCCACTGGATTTGCCACCCCCCCCCCCCCCCCTTTCTTTAAATGTAAATTAAAAAAAAAAAAATACAATGAAATAGAATAAAAAAATAAGAACAGTTGCCATATTTATACCATGCATGCATTTATCTTTGATGCACCTGTGTGTGCATATGTAGTTAGCCCTCTTCACTCGCATCACCGCTTCACTCGCTTCACCTTCTGATACACGTTCCCTCTGCAGATGAATAATGAGCCCTTCAGCTTCAACGCGAACGCCCCGTCGTACTACCCCGGAATGGCCTACCAGAGAGGCGGCCCAGAGAGCCAAGAAGAAAATGACGCGGACAACGGTTCGTCCTGCCTGGGTACTGAAAACACAGAGGACCCAATTGTGAATGAGGTAGAGGAAAAAATAAGACAAATGAAAACAAGTGATGACCATCCAGTGGAGCCATACGAAGAAGAAAATGATAGTGCCACGGACCTAGATAAAAAAGACCAAGTAGAAGATTCTCAAGGAGAGAAAAATGTACAAACAAAAAGCAAATTAATTCCAGTCGATCCTAGACAGCACTTAAATATTATTTTTATAGGACACGTAGATGCAGGAAAGTCAACGGCCTGTGGAAACATCCTTTACATTCTGGGTTATGTTGATGATAGGACTATAGAAAAGTATGAAAGAGAGGCCAAGGAGAAAAATCGGGAGAGCTGGTTTTTGGCTTTCATTATGGACATCAACGAAGAGGAGAGACAGAAGGGAAAAACGGTGGAAGTCGGTAGAGCCCACTTTGAAACCAAGGACAGGAGGTTTACAATTTTAGATGCCCCGGGACATAAGAACTTCATTCCTAATATGATTAGTGGTGCTGCACAGGCGGACATCGGTGTGCTCATCATTTCCGCTCGCAAGGGGGAGTTCGAGACAGGCTTCGAGCGCGGGGGCCAGACCCGCGAGCACACGCTGCTAGCGAGGACGCTAGGTAGGGCCCAGGCGCCAGACGCGCGTCAGCACCACGCTATCACTACGCTGACATTATGCCCATATTATAACTATGGTTCTCACACCACACCGCTAACTACACTTCTGACGGTAGACCCCGCACTATGTGCTTCTGGCACCACACTTATTTGTCGCTTCCCCCCACCCCGCAGGAATAAACCAACTGATCGTTGCCATCAACAAGATGGACGACCCCACGTGCAACTGGAGCGAAGCCCGCTACGACGAAATACAAAAGAAAATAACCCCCTTCATAAAGTCGTGCGGGTATAACATCAACAAGGATGTGTATTTCGTACCCATCTCGGGACTCACGGGACAAAATTTGTCTGAACATGTCTCCGATCCAAACTCCAAGCTATATGATGCAAGGGGTAGTTGGTATGATACATCTAAGCCTACCTTGTTTCAAATTTTAAACACGTTATCACCACCCCCCTGGGATGAAAAGGGACCTCTAAGAATCCCTCTCCTAGAAGGATACAAAGACAACGGGATCATAGCCATAGGAAAAATTGAATCAGGAACTTTGTATGGAAATAATATGAGTTGTGTTCTTATGCCAAATAAATTAAAAGTGAAAGTACTGAATGTGTATTTAGAGGATGATGAAGTTCCTTATGCCAAGCCTGGAGAAAATGTTCGTGTCAAGCTGTTAGGTGTAGAAGAGGATCAAATAAGTAAAGGGTTCGTCCTGTGCGATTCTTTGAACCCATGCTCCGTTGTTAGTGAGTTTATTGGAAGAGTAGCAATTGTAGAGTTACTTGAACACAAGCCAATCATCACAGCAGGATATTTCTGCATCTTCCATGCCCACACGACTTGTGAGGAAATTCAGTTCCTAGACATGCTAGAGGTCATTGATAAAAAATCCAAAAAAAAAAAAATAAAACCCAAATTTATTAAAAATGATTGTATCGTGACTGCACACTTTTTGCTCTCCAACCCCGTGTGCATAGAAGTGTATGACAAGCTTCCCCAGCTGGGCAGGTTTACCCTGCGGGATCAGGGCAAAACCATAGCCATAGGGAAGATACTCGAGTTGAAGGGTTGAGTTTGCGGTTAGTTTGCGGTGAGTTAGTTTGCGGCGAGCTCGGGGTGATCTCCGGATGAACTGAGGCGGGGGAGGAAGAAAAGTCGTTGTCACAGGGGGAAAATGATCGCGTCGCTGCCGTGCCACAGTATGCTGGTCTACGTTTACATTTTCTTCCAATTTGCATGCCATTTTTTCCTCTTTTTTCTCTTTCGCGTGAGCGTTTCCCCATGGATCAATTCCCCATTTTTAAAAGTACGTATCCCCCCGCCCCATCCAGTATAATATGCGTAAAGGATTATCCGCACTTTATACTGTGCTTACGTGTTGAGTGCCCGCAGACACCCCATTCACTCCATGTCCTTATTTTCTTCGTTCCGTCCACTGGACCATAAAGAAATGAAAACTTATCACCATGAGTAAAAAAAAAAAAAAAAAAAAAATGTGTGCCTTTCTGCGCCATGCGGTGTGAACGTTAGTGAAACATGATAAACCCAGTCATGGGTGATGGTGGCCCATATAAAATACCACCTTTTTTGGCTCCGTGCTGGCCGCAGCAGGGGCGAAGTGGAAGATTTCCCAAACGAGACAAAAGCTTTTATATAACATCACTTCCACCCTAGCGCGCCGCCGGTATGCCCAACTTTTGGTCATTTTTAAAAATGTAGTTTTTTAAAAAAAAAACTTGTTTTTAAGTTTCGTTTTGAAAAACATGCATGCATTGAAAAGGATATGCTAAGTGGACGCAATGTTGGCGCTTGCGTATTGTGTGGCCTCTTCCCCCTTTGCGTCATCGCATGGGGAAGCAAGCCCACGTGTAAAAAACACAGGAGAGGTGCGTAGAAATATGTAAAGCAGGGGGTAAAAGATGGGACGCATGTTGGCATGCATGTTGTCAGCATACCAGTTGCCGCCGCGCGCGAAGAAGTAAACAAATACGAAGAGGGAGGAAGAGAGAAAAAAAAGAAAAAAAAAAGGTATAAAGTGGAAACGAAAAATTGGTACCAGGTGTGGCATTCTGACAAATATGCAAAAGTAAACACACAACTTGTGCTTTTTTTATAAAATGGGGAGAGAGTACAAAATAAAAAAAAAAAAAAAAAAAAAAAAGCTAAATCGAATTTTGGCTGACGACGAACAGGGGGGAAGGGGAAGCATCTATCTAACCCGTAACACGAACACACATATGTGTGTGCCTGTTCTAATGACCCCCTGTCAGAGGTGCAGCTTGCGCTGCTTGAAGAGAGCGCTGAGCAGGTTGCTATTACGCACAAGGTAAAACACAATGATGGCGAAAATGAGGATCCAGATGATGCACCAGGTAGCTACTTCATTGTTATTCATTATGAGATCCTCCTGGAGAGACAGATCAATATTTGCGATGATTTTCTCCCTCTGGGCACTGGTCGTTTTTAAGCTCTTCGAAATAACGTCCTCAAAGTATTGTGGCAAAACAAAGTAGTTGTTCACAAGCTCATACTTCTCCTTATTGTAATGAAAGTACATGGTGGGAAGGATCCAATTCAGGATAACCCCTTGGTAGGTGTATGTATTCATAACCGTTTTAAACGCCTCTACTTTGAGTAGATCCTTCTTACCACTATTCACCTCCTCCAAAGTCACATTAATTCTGTCTACCAAGTCTTTGGAAATGTTATTCATATTTTCTGTATTATAAATGAGGTCACTTATTTCATAATACTCATAAGGTATGCGCGTCGTGACAATGTATTTGTTAATGTCTTTGTTGTGGCTCTTGTCTGTAATGACAACACAGCCATTGAACAGAGCATCAATTACCATTCTGTTTAACATGCCTGCAAACTTGGAGCTAATTACACACACTTTACTTCTGCGCAACATATCATGATACTCCTTCAGCTTGTTCTTTATCAACTTGTGTGTGGTCTGCATGCCCCATACTTTCCAGTAGTATAAATCGAATTCGTATTTCTTTATTCGATGTTTCAAATTATTTATATCCTTGTTATAAATATAATCCATTACCTTTTGAATTAGAAAATCATTATAATTACTAGAAGTGGTGTTGCAAAGGTAAAGGATATCAATATCCCTATGCGTGTTATTCAGAAAGCTCGGTACCGTATCTTTGTAAGTACATGCTGGGAGGAAAATGTCTAGAAGCGAGTAGGACAACTCCAACTTGGGCATATTTTTCTTCTTTTTCTTCATCATCTTTTTAGCGAGGTCTTGGTAAAAGGTAGGACTGACTACCATTTCCTTGGAGCTATCGTTGGGATCGTTCTCTATCACGTTGAACATATTTTCCATATTATTCAAACAGCAAGGATTCACTCCATGGGGTAGGAATGCCCACAATGTTTTGTTTTCATCATCATCGTGTTCATCCTCTTGGTTGGAGTCCTCTCCTTCTGCACTCAACTCATTCTTTCCCTTCTTCTTCTTCTTCTGCTGGTCGTCCTCCTCTTCTTCATCTCCAATTACCCCATTATCTCCTTTCCTTTTTTTAGTGTCGTAATTTTTTCCCTTCTTCTTATGCTTATTTGCTATGACATCATTGGAGTCATTACTCGACACCTTGTTCCACAAACTGTTGATGAGTTTTCTCTTCTCCGACCCAGAGTCAATACTGTTCAAAGGATTGTACTCAAATATATTCACCTGGTTTTGAAAAAATATGTGAGGAAATAAATTCAAGTAAGAATTCTTCACGCTGTTATCCCACCCATCATTTATAAATATTAGAGTGGTCATTCTGGGCATATTCTTCAAAAAAAAATAATGATTGTAATAGTTCGATACAAAACTGCTGTGGACAAAGATGATGTCAAATGGATCCTTTCCAATCTGCTTCTCATAATTGTGCAACAGCGTGTGTAAATTCTTCGTAAAAAATAAAGGGTAATATTTGAACCCATATCCCCACATGTACGTATTCCACTTCAACTGACTTTCCATAATATCATACAAATTGAAAAAATACCTGTCCATGGAGGTGGAGAAGGCTTTCTTCGTTGAAAGGAAGAGAACACGGGGTACACGCAATACATACTTGGATGTGTCTCTCACATCTGATTTGGCATTCAAGGGGGGTAAGGGAACGAGAAATGATTCTGACTTGGCATACGGAGAAGAAGCATCCTTACCAGACAGTCTGTATTGCTTCACCATTTTCTTCACATCTATGTTTAAGCTATCCATCATGTACTCCAAATTATTATAATTGATATATGACAATATACAATTCTTTTCCTTACTCGACTCGCAATTACATTCATGCAAATTATCACTCTCCCCTGCTATTAACCCACGTAAAAGTTTCTCATTTTCTAATTTGCCCTTTCTTAAAATGTGCCCACTGATAGATCCACTTTCAACAGACTCATTATCATCCAACTGATTCACGTCAGCGAACATTTCTGTTTTCTTCTCTTTTTCCTCATCACTCATTTGTTCGTAATTAACACTGTTATCATTTGCACTAACGTAAATATGCTTTTCGAACTCATCATCAATATTGTATTTGTCCTTTATGTCCTCCTCACTTGTTATGTCATTTAGGATTTGTCTCTCGTAGGAGTACGGATTGTATTTCCCTTTGAGTAAGTTGAAAAAACTTTTCAACTTGGAGTTCTTTTCTTCTAACTCTTTGCTACCTCCAGTAACATTCATCCCCTTACTCTTGTTTATCAAATTTTGCAATTCTTGCAGGAGGTTCTTTTCACTCTGATTATACTCTAACATGATGGATTCTTTGTTTGTAGACCCATCCATTACACTTTTGTCTAATGCGAATGGCGCATCGTTGTTCTTCTTCTGTGAGTTGAGGAAGTTCCCCAACAGGGACTGGAGGTCGCCCATCAGTTTGTTGTTCCCGCCTCCCTTATTAGCTCCCAAATTGCCCAGCAGACTGGTTAGGTGCTCTAAGGGGTTACCACTCTTTCCATCGCCTCCCTTGTTCGCTCCTAGATTGCCTAGTAGACTGGTTAAATTTGCCAGTGAATTGCCTGCCTTCCCATCACCTCCCTTGTTCGCTCCTAGATTGCCTAGTAGACTGGTTAGGTGCTCCATTGGATTGCCTCCCTTCCCATCAGCTCCCTTGTTA